CCAAGGCCATGCAGACGCTTAAAAGCGAGTACATTGTGCCCGACATCTTCCAGAAAGACGCCTTTAAGGTTTTTGAAAAATGCCGTCCTGACCATGCCTGGCTCATTATCGGTTCTCAGCGTTCTGGATCCACATTCCACAAAGACCCCAATTGCACCCTGGCCTGGAACGCTGCGTTAGTAGGAAGAAAACTCTGGATCATGCTTCCTCCAGAAATCGTGCCTCCTGGAGTCAGCACCGATGATGACGAAAGTGAAGTTACCAGTCCTGTGGGCATTGCCGAATGGGTCCTTTCTGGATTCTACAACGACTGTGTAAATAATACCTCCGCCCAAATCGGTATAACCTTCCCTGGAGAATGCATGTATGTGCCTTGTGGCTGGTGGCATATGGTGATCAACCTTGACGACAGTGTTGCACTTACACAGAATTTCGTTCCACTGGTCCGTCTAGGCAACGCCTTGAATTTCATGAAAAACAAGAAAAAGCAGGTTTCTGGTTTCCGTCCTGCCGAAGTGAAGCATGCCTTGGACGAGATATTGGCCAGTTGCAAGGATGAGGAGGATGCTGAAGCTATACGAAAGTGGATACGCAAGTTTGACGAGCTCAATCTTCAGGAAAACTTACAGAACGAGGATTGCGGCGAATTGTTGGAGTGTGAGCTTCCGGCGATGCCCATTCTCGAGCTTTTCAAGTTGTTGCTTGCGAAGAACGGAAGGGATGTTGAATTAGCACACGGACTTGCGGATTTGGCCAAGCTCGAAAAGGCTGAATTGGCCAAACTAACAGGAAAAAGCGAAACATGGACTAAGCTCACGGAAGCTCCACTGTTCAGTTTTGGCTTTGCCTTGGATGAGTAAGTGCAAGCTGGGGAGAACAGGAAAGCAGCAAAAATTGGGCACGAATATGACGACCGTAAATAGAGATAGACGAATTAGACCGTAAATAGAGATGGACGAATTATAGATGACTTATTAGGGTTTGGATTGTGTAGGATGGTTGATCCCAGTGGCTTTGATACTTTTCGCAGCCATTAGGTGGTATAACAAGTACATCGAGGGACAAATTTTCCACAGATATAACAGCGTCACAGAAATAGAATTGAATAACGTCGAAAGGCAAAACGTTTTTATTCTCTTTGGATCCCGCCACCCACAGATGTTGCTATCCTACCACCCCAGATGACTCAGTGTGGCTGACTTCCGCAAATCTGACTCCGACAAACCCTTCACCACCAACTACCACCAACACCCACCAGCAAAAACCTCAAACCCCAAAATCAAAAATCCTCCTCTCCCCTACTAATTATCCACCCTAGTGACATTTCTAGGCCTCTGTCAAAACCAAAGTCACCCCACTCCTGTATCGCGCAATCCACCATCACCATGCTCCGGAACTTTCTACTTCGAGTCCGTTCATTTTCCACACCACGGGCCTTTGCCACCTCCAGAATGACCCAAACGGAAAAACCCATCATCTTTGCGCCCCCTACGTACCAGTACACCAAGGGCCACCTCAACGAAAACGAAATAGACACAAACCCCATAGAGCAGTTCCACAAGTGGTTTGATGAAGCCAAAGCCGGCGTGCCAGAGGGCCTGTCGATACTTCCCGAGAGCGTCACGTTTTCTACGGCTAGACTTCCACTGGGCCGGGTCTCCCTGCGTGTTGTATTGTTGAAAGAGTTGGATACCCATGGATTCATTGTCTACTCCAACTGGGAGACCTCCAAGAAGCTGCAGGACTACGAGCTGAACAAATGGGCCTCTCTTACGTTTTTCTGGCCCTACCTCCAGAGGCAGGTCCGTGTGGAGGGCAAAATGGAGAAGGTGGATCGGGATATTTCACAGAGGTACTATGATACCAGACCCAGGGGATCCAAGATTGGAGCCTGGGCGTCGCCTCAATCGCAGACCATCAAGGACAGAGACGAGTTGGACACGTACTATCACAAGTACGAGGAGCAGTTCAAGGACACCGAGGATAACGGAATCGAGTGTCCTGGCTTCTGGGGCGGTATGAGGATTGTGCCCTATGAGATTGAGTTCTGGCAGGGCGGCGTCTCGCGGTTACACGATAGGCTTGTTTATGAGCGGGACGATACCGAGAAGGAGTGGACCGTGAAGCGTGTTGCTCCATGATGCCCAGGTTTGGATGCTTTGGCTGGTTCAGCCACAATAGACGATAGAGTCATGTACAAAGACAGCGTGTTTTAGGACCCTCCGTATCTGCTCTTTCTGGACTCTCCGTACCTGCTTTTCTTAGACTCTCCGTATCTTCCGTATCTGTTGCTACTTGACTAAGCAGGAGTGTTCTGAGTAAAATGCCACTTTGTCCGTCTTAGTAAGCAGGGCCTTTTAACAATTAGGGCTCAAAAAGGAGAAAACCTCATAACCCAATCATTTCACCAATTCCCAATTCTCCCGTCTTTCCCACCGTTTGATCAAAATGACAAATCCACCGTGCAGGCGGATGCATGCGTCAGATTGTGTAACTACGGTTATCGCGAGTTTTGCAGCCATTTGTGCGTTTCTCAGCTACATCACAATAGACCCTACAATACATCAAATGATCAAACCATATTCAATTAACAGTTCATATCTAAAAAAACTCTAGTTTACTTGAATCTGTTGACGGTCTCGGCAAAGTACTCACCCTGGACATTGGCAATCTGCTTCTCCAAGTCAGTAGGCTGTCTGGAACCATCAGCGCCAGCAAAAGTACCAGCACCCCATGGAGAAGAACCGTGAACCTCTTCCAAGTTGGTAAGCAATGGGAAGGCCTTACCGTAACCCAATGGCACGTAAATGATACCGTGGTGGGTCAAGGTGGAGAGAGTGTTGATGGCAGTGGTTTCCTGTCCACCACCTGGAGTACCAGTAGAAACAAAGATGGAGGCCACTTTGCCCTGCAAAGCACCCTTAGCCCACAAGCCACCAGTGGCGTCCCAGAAGGCCTTCCATTGAGCTGGGAAGTTACCGTATCTGGTGGGGATACCGAAGATAAAGTAGTCGTATTCGGTCAAGGTCTCTGGAGAAGCAACTGGGAAGTCGGGCTTTGGAGGAGCGTTCAACTTGGTCAAGATGTCCTCAGAGAGGGTCTCAGGAACCTGGAAGATCTTAGCATCGAGACCGCCGGCCACGACACCCTTTTGGATCTCTTTGGCAAGAGTAGCAATGTGGTGGTACAAGGAGTAAGTGATGATAGCGACTTTTGGGGCCATTGTGGATGAAAATCGATAGAGAAAAGAAGAATTCCAGGCAAGCCTGCCACGCTTATAAGGCCGGGACCGAGAGTATGGGAGAGCAATCGTGGGGTTGCTTTGCCGCCGTGCAGCAGTGGCTCAAACGTAAAGTTCACTCCCCTTACTAGTCAGTATGACTTCGCAATTACTAAATGGTTAGTAGCTTTTTACACACGCAAAATGTGCGTTTTGAAGGAGGGTCTGGATTGGTCGAAGGTGCCATTGTTAGGTGGGATTTGGGGGGAAAAAGCCACAGTGGAGGGGTTACGGGGAACTCTGTGGTGGCTGATCCGGGTCCATTGTAGTGGTGGCTTCATGGAGGTGTGGATGGGAAATGATTTTTTTCAATTGCACAAATATGACCACTTTTTCTTTTCCGATCGTTATTGTGATCTCTTGCTGATTGTGACTTGTTCGATGCGTTCATAACCCTGCTATTTCTGGATAAGGCTAACATTCCGCGTACCATCGTTGCAGCCAATGAATGGATTCATCTGGACTCTGGTAGTATTGGCTGCAATCTGATAATCTACGGCCGGTCGTCTATTAATACACCGCAACCTGCTTTTTAGATTTGAAGTGCTTCGCCTATCCGTTTTCAGCAGGCTTTGTACACCCAAAATAAGCTTTTGAGTTCTACTCCTACACTGAAGTCGTGTCAGTCTATATTTTTCTAAAAAAGGCCTGAAGCCCTGGTTGGTGATGTTCTAGGCACCGCCGGGATTGCTTAGAACTTCTGCACAGTCTCAAAGAAAGCCTGGCCCTGGATGGTGGCAATCTCCAACTCCAACTTAGATGGCTGTCTGGAACCGTCGGCACCAGCGAAAGCACCGGCACCGTATGGAGAAGAACCGTGGACCTGCTCCAAGTTGGTGATCTGGCCGAAAGCCTTGGCGTAACCCAATGGGACGTAGATGATACCGTGGTGGACCAACACAGACAAGGCGTTGACAATGGTGGTCTCCTGGCCACCACCTGGGGTACCGGTGGAAACAAAGAAACCAGCAGCCTTACCGTACAAGGCACCAGAGGCCCACAAGCCACCGGTGGAGTCCCAGAAGGCCTTCCACTGGGCTGGGTAGTTACCGAATCTGGTTGGAACACCGAACAAGAAAGCGTCGTAGCTGGTCAAGGTGTCCAAGGTGGCAACTGGGTAGTTTGGCTTGGATGGAGCACCCAACTTGGCCAAAACGTCAGAAGACAAGGTCTCTGGAACCTGGTAGATGTCAGCCTTACCACCGGCGGCCTCGACACCCTTCTTCACGGCCTCAGCCATGGTAGCGATGTGGTGGTACATGGAGTAGATGATGATAGCAACTTTTGGAGCCATTGTGATTGATGTGTTTTTTATTGATAGAGAAGAGCAAAAGGTTGAGGCAGCCTGGTCCTTTTATCTCTTTGGGCTCTGTGCTGATAAAATTGCCAGCATGCCGGTTCGGCACGCGGTGCTTTCAAATGTTGCATTGTGCAGTTAGTAACGCTTAGTCAAATGGGTGAGGTGCGTCGAATGTTTGTCAATATACCGCACAATCAGACACTTAAGCGATGAATTACTGCACACAACGCGGATTATCAAGCTTGCTAGTCAGATATTTGTCAAGCTGCATTGACTAATGCTTAGTGGAAGCTTCGAAGCCTCATTCGGTAATCACTAATAGACACCGCACAGCTTTACTTTAAAACCGCTCAGCCTTGCCGCCCCCTTTATTTGGACCCATCCTGCCCTTCGTCTGATTTTTTTTGAAAAAAACCCAAAATGAAAGTCGCTATCGTCTACTACTCCACGTACGGCCACGTTCTCACGTTGGCAAAGTCCATCAAGAAGGGTCTTGAGTCTTCTGGAAAAGTCTCCCAGGTTGACATTTTGCAAGTTCCAGAGACTCTTTCAAAGGACATTTTGCAGCAGTTGCATGCTCCAGAGAAGCCAAACTACCCTCTCGCTACCCCAGAGAAGGTCGCCGAATACGATGCCATTCTCTTCGGTTACCCAACCCGTTTCGGTAACTTGCCAGCTCAATTGGTTGAGTTCTTTGGCCAGACTGGTGGTCTTTGGACCTCTGGTGGCTTGTACCGTAAGCCAGTCGGTGTGTTCACCTCTGTGAGCTCCTCTGGTGGTGGCCAAGAAGTCACCATGAGAAACTTGTTCTCCTACGTTGCCCACCACGGTATGGTCTTCATCCCATTGGGTTACGGTAAGGCTTTCCCCGATATCACCAACTTGGAGGAGGTCCACGGTGGTTCCCCATACGGTGCTGCCACTTTTGCTGGTGCCAATGGTTCCAGACAGCCATCCGACTTGGAATTGAGAATTGCCCACACCCAGGGTGAGACTTTCGCTGCCAGTGCTGCCAAGTTGGTCGCTGCTTCTAAAGCCCCAGCTGCTACCAAAAAGACGGCTCCAGCCGCTGCCGAGAAGAAGACCGCTCAGTCCACCTCACCTGCTACTAAAACCACTGAAAAGTCTACTGAGGCTTCCACCCCACAGAGAGTGCAAAAGCTGAGCACGCCGAACGCCAAGGAGGAGAGCAGCTGTGCTAAGTGCGTTATTGTTTAAGAAAAGACCCACATAGAAAACCCTAGAAGTGCACCGCACGGGCGGTGATTAGTTAGTAATAGCCAACAACCCCTAATCGATATACTTACGTGAAAAAAAGAACTCCCCACTACTACCCTCTGCCAACCGCAAACTAGCCCTACGCGTTACTAACAACACTCGCTGCAGAGATGCCAATATTGGGGAGACCAAAGACGGAGCATTCTAAATCAAACCCCAGACTAACCAAACTGTTGCTTTCATGCTTTCGTACAAGTATGTGTGTACTGATCCGTCCATCAGACTGGAGGGGCTAGTCTACTCACACAGAATGGCAAGTCCTTTGCAGGGTCCCCATGGACCATAGTTTAGTGTTTTACTCGTGCTCCACTCAAATTTGCAGACCCTGTTATACCTCCTCCCTTCTTGCGTAAAGCCCTTCAAAGCGAAATGGAATAACTGGGAGGCATGTACCTGTTTGGGGTCCATTACGGGCCCAATTTTGCCTAGAAAACAAACAGGCCAAAACAAAAGATCTGAGCACAGGGTACGGAATTTGCAACTGTAGGGTGGTAAAACCCAGCCAAAGGCTGAGGAGAGACAGCAAAGATAGTAGCCCTCAGGAATAATTGTGGTTCTACAAGAGGGCAAATTCCATTTCTCTCGTCACAGGAGTTCACGAGTACAAGGATGTTGCAGAACGCACTTGAACGAGAACATACAACCAATAATGAGCATCCCAGAGCCGGAAGAGCCCTTCAGCAATAGTAGGCAAGTGAACTCGCCTTTTCGTGGGCTGAAGAACTTCTCTATGGAAGTCGATGCCGGATCGAAGACCAGACAGCCAGGAAGATATGTATCTCGTTCACGCAATTCCACACCACCCAGGGCGCCGCAAATCCTCAGATAACAAGCAAAACCACACGTCATCCAAAAGACCTCTTTGCCGTCTCTAAATGGGTTTTTTCTTAGGGATGTCTGGGTTTAAAAAACCAGGGTGCCTATTCCCAGACAGGGTCCATGAAGCTCCGGAGCATCATCTTTTGACAAAGCCAAAAAATCAACATCCAGGCTCTTGGATAGATCCAAAAGAAGAAGGAATAACAATTTCTGCAATTTTCCTCGAGAAAGACAAGTAAAACACGTCCACCAGATCCACAGATCAGATTCAGAACGACACAGCCATTGAACGCACCTAGGCTCTCTGCAAGCAAATTGGTGTGATATTAGCCACATAGGATTCGAATGAAGTTGACCGGGCATAAAATTATATGTCCATAGGTAGTATATGGGAAGAAAGGGCGAACCTTTGAGATCAGAAAACTGCTTGGTGCTCTCGCTATGTAGTGTAGACACCCGTACCTCCGGTGATACCTGGGCACTATTTGGCCGAATTGGGGGATAACTGGGGGATTTCTACTTATTTAGCGAGTAGGTGATGATCTCAATAGTGCGTAGATCTTGGATACACCAATTGGAAGCAATTTTGGGTTCATTGTGGCTGTTGGAATAAGTAAGAGAATGTATGCGGATGCAAGAGCGACTAAATTGACGAGTTCATAATCTTAGAAAGCATGTTAAAATGTCAGCGAGGTCTTTATTAAAGGTAGCGGGGTGTTCTCGTTTCATATCATAGCAAGAATTGGTTGATCATCTATAATCTGCCCTGAATATCGTACTAAATCTAGACCGAAGGGTAAACCAGAATAGAGTCGTCCAAGCATCTCTAATTGGGAGATCGCTTTGCTTCGTTTTGTGATTTTGGAGTCTTTGAACCTGCTCCTGAAGATTTTGATCAATGGTCCACCAACGGTGGTCCATCGTACTGTTGCAATCCAGATGCAATTTCCCAAAAGGACTCAACATCCACCATAGAGCCACGACTTCCAAAGTTGACGGAACAAAATCAGCTTTTCAAAATAAGGAACTTGTGATCATAGGCGGCACCATGTTGCCGCCACCTCCCAAACTCCACCTACCACTACACCAAACTATCAACACATCACTTACTACTGAGCGGGTACGAAAGCACCAAACCCGTGTGGCTTCGGGAAGGTCTTGATGTAGTCAATTCCTCCCACACACTGGGGCACCGTAAGCTGGTTCAGGCCGATGGCCCTGTGGATCTTCACACCCACATCCACGGTTCTTTTTGCAGAATCGTGCTCCAACACAAGACCTCGTCCGCCATTGTTCCGCTTATACAGTAAAACCCCGTTGATCACGTCCCGATCATGCTTTCTTTCATCATCCACAAGCAGCCAGTCCATGGTGTCGTAATCCCAAAGCACCAGCTGCATGCCAAACTGGCGTACTATAGCCCGAACTCTGTTGTCGATTCCTCCGTAAGGCGGTCTAAACCACTTCGGTAAATGCCCGTAAGTAGCGTTCATGGCCCAAATCGACCATTGAAGCTGGGCGACGATCTGCTCGTTACTAAGCAGAGGAAGAAACGGATGGGACCAGGTGTGAGAACCCATGATATGGCCCATATCGGCAGTATCTCTGTAGACCTGCGGGAAACGGACCACATTGACGCCGATGGTGAAAAAAGTAGCCTTGCTGCGGAGCTGACTGGTCAATGCTGGCGTAAACTGGGTGGGTCCATCGTCAAAGGTCTGACTGAGTCTAGGGCAAGTGTAGACATCGTCAGCGGCTACACAATTGGCACAGTCAAAGGAACAAACCTCGCCACGGGTAACGTGGTGTGGGCATTCGCCTATACTCCGTTTCCACGAGCTCAGACCCTGTGGCAAGTTGTCAAACAGAATGAAGTCCATGGGGATATACGGAGGGTCCAAGCCAGGCCATTCTGTGATTCCTGTGAAATCGGTGAGCCATTGGGGTACGGGTAACGGGGCCGGAGCTGCGGCGATTTGGGGATTGAAGATGTTGAGAGACGGGCGGAACGTGAGGGCCATTGTGGGGGCCAAGAGGAAGAGAAGCATGCTTGTGGAGGTGTTTTTGCAACCATCGCGGGGGCATTTTATAGTGGGCACAGGGAGGGTAAGAGATTGAGATTTCTAGGGGCGGGAGATGTACACCCAAGGATGGATGAAGAAGTTTGTTTTGCTTTTGTTTGGAGTTGGTCTTTGAGTTGTACCACTGGTTGTTCTTTGTTGGCTTGGTAATGGCTGCGAATGGAGTAGTGTTAAGAAGGCTGCTTTTAGAGGTGGCAGAGGGATATTACTAAAAAGAGAGGAGAAGTGTCTTGATTTTCTAATTCGAAAAGAGCTTTTTAGCTCTGGTTGAGTAGATTTAGGATCGTGCTTGTGGTATACGGCCTTACAACTGGTACCCAGGTAGTTGATGTCAGATGCACACTAACAAGAACTCAAGTACGAAGCTTCGGTATCCCCAATCAGTGCGTTAGAATACTAAGGATACTTCAAAAGCCTCCCCAGAGTACGACTTTGGTCGTCGGTGCAGTGTAGTAGATTGACAGTGTAGTAGATTGACAGTGTAGTAGATTGACGAGTTCAGGTTTAGGACCTCCTACAGATGGCCGAATCGGGGGAAGCAAATTGGTCTAATGTGTTCAGATCGTCTAACTATACTTCTCAGGAGCTACGGTAGTTGAAACTAGCTCAACGAAATCAGAGTTACTGTGAAAGCATGGTGTTCAGCTTCAATTGCTACCTTCTCACTTAGACACTGAAGATGCCCTGACTGCAACACTGCTCTTGAAAGCTTCGTTGATATACCCCACCAAGCCCTCCAAGGCCATGTTGGTTATCAGTAATAGTGAATTCTCGTTCAAACCATCCAATTCGCATATCTGGGTACACTTCATAGCCTTCTTGTAAACATTACTTTGCCTAACATATATGAACTACACCGATTGAACCACCATCAAGAGAACGCCACAGATGGTGATAGAACCCACCCCTCTCCAACCTCTATTATCGAAATCTCCCATAACCATAACCTATATCATCCCTCTTGCTCTCCACATCTCAACCCTAGCCACCCAGCTTGAAGACAAGAAAAAGAGCACCACACTCTCCTCAATAACTCCACCACCTCCTCAATCTCTCCACCACCCCCAATCTCTACTCCCCATCACTCCTCCATTAACCCTCAGTTCTCCTCCACCATCTCCAACACTCCTCATTCACTTCTCCAACCATCTTGTGAAAATAGCCTCCACCCTAGTCTCCTCGATGAGATCACTACACATACCAGCTAAGCCTGGGTCCAACTACCTTCTTACTAAGCAGACCCCAAAACCACCTACAACTCTTCAATGCAATTCTAGTTTCATTTAGTCGCCGATCGGCGAGTGGTCATAAATAATAAAATCCCTCGACCCCCAAAACCATCCCCCCAAAATCACGCTTTTCACGTTTAGGCTGGTCGGTCACTCGGAGCTTGAGGGGATGTGGGGAGCAGCGGGGCGGTGAGCGCAAAAAGGCAGTGGCAGGCAGTGACACAGAAGCCTCAACAATGCGGTTTCGCGCCGAACAACCTGGGCATTGTGACCGGTGGTGACACAACAAACAAAGCGGCTGAAATTTGGCGCCAAAACCGGTGGTGCTGAGTCGAATGGTGCTTTCTGTATTCTTCTGCGGCGAATATTGGCCGAGTTAGGGGCACCCCTGGTGGGTGTTTACCGGCGAGTGCGGGGCCGGCAAAACGCTGGCTGACGTGCTCGTCAATGCGTGATATCGGCGCAGTGAGCCATTTTAACGAGGCAATGAACCCAAAAAAGGGGACTGTTAGGAGCCAGCAAGCGGGAAGCTTAAATGTGGAAGCGTTGAAAATAAGGCTGGATCGGCCAAATCGGGTAGTTCGGGCTGGCTTAGTCCCGATGTACCTGGATCTGCTGTGGCTGCAAACGATCGGGCCCGAGCCCCAGGCCCTTTGAGCCCCTTTGATTTGAACCATTGCTCCGATTGATTTCATGAAGCATTGCTCCCCATTGATTCCTCAACCATTGCTCAAAAGCCTGTAGTGGCCTTAAAAACGTAGAACCAGTAGTTCAAGTCAATTCCTTGAGGAATCAAAACGCCACTTACCCTCGCCTAAAAGCTCACACTCTCGTACCGCCTCCGGCGCTTTTCGGCCTGAAGCAGCACCACCGTCTGCTTCAACCGGCTCTCCATCGCCGCCTGCTCGTCTTGCATCACCACAGCAATCTGGGCGCTGTTCATCTTGCCAAAATCCACAGTTTTCGGAGTAGCTGCCTCGTTTGCAGCCATTTCTGCCAGTTCCCGGCGAGGCCTTTTGCGGGGCGTTTCAATTTGCCAGTTGCCCTCTTCGCTCAATCTGCTGATTTCCCGAACATACTTCATCACCGCCGCCTCCTGGCGTCTTTCCATAAGATCTATGGTTTGTTCCCTGGTGAGCGACCAGGGCTTGACTCTGTCAACATCTCCCGCGGAGAACCGTCTGGTGCGGGCTGACATTCCTTGAAATACTTGTTTGTTGCAGTTTGGAGATTTTGAAAAAAGCGATTGAAATAAATCTGTCAAGTGTCACACCGGCGATTGTGGGTCTTATATCTTATCGCACAGTGTGCACAGTTGCGGACCGTATCTGCTTGGTTCTCCTTTCGCGGGGGTCTAGGGTCACTCCTCCGGATCTGAGTCATTTAGCCATCTGAGACATTTTTGGGAAAGCTGTTTTTCTATTCATCTACGAAATTCAATCTTTCAATATATATGTTTTAAAGATATTTGTCCCTCTCTCCAAAACCTCGCTGGGGCTTACCGGCTCGGTGAATCTCCACATTTCAGAATCGGTATCGGCTGAGTTTTTCACGCACTGTCCCACCGGCTCCCCTCTATTTTCTTATCGTTTGGCGTATTCATGCAGCGTGAAGTCACCAGAATTTTCGCTTTTTATTTCAAGGCCCCGCTATTTTTGTTACTTCTTCTCATGTGACGGGCTTACTCCGCTTTGTTAAAAAGTGCAAATGAGTGAATTCTGAAATTACTGTGGGGCGCCGATCGTGCCGTTAGATCTGATCAGTAGTCAGTTCCAAACACCGTAAATGCCGATGAGCTGAGAATGTGGTCTGAGGAGACACTGCCGTTTGTACCGTGAATTACCGCTGCTTTTTTGATACTACTGGAATATATCCCAATCGACCGATAACCTGATACTTGAGAGATTTAACCGTGCACGTGGTAACCGGTTCCGATTCATGTATGGATATGTGGGAGTAACGGTATCGTTCGATGTCTCTGCATCACTCTGCGTCGGCTATATCTCTACTTCCGTCTACAATCCATTCTTGCACGCTCCTATTAATCTTTTGCTTTGTTAGACGAATTATGTACTTTCCTCATGCATATTATTCCGTCTATTTCTCTATGCTATAGCCTTCTCGGCCTCCGACGAAGCCCTGGCAATCAACTCAATCTGCTCCTTCACCGCTCTCGTCAAAAATTCAATCATCACTATGTCCTGGTTGTGTGCCTGGAAGTGCTCCTTCAAAAGCGTCAAGTCCGACAAGCTCGTGGGCTTGTTCACCAATGTGTTGCTCAAGGTACGCAACAAGTCCACATCCTCATCGGACCCAGACATGTTGTCGAGGTACTGCAACAACTGGTCCACGTCGTGGGTCACAGCGCCAATCTCCGCCTGCAAGGTATCCAAGCCCTGCTCGTGGCCCTGCAACGTGACAGAGTTGTCCTTGGAGCGATGGAGCATGTTCAAGGCCAACTTCTCCGAAACAGTGTGGGCAACAACCTTGTGGGGCACAGGGCTGAAGATGTACGAGTTTGTGGTGGCGGTGGTCTTCCAGCCGATTTTCTGGACGGGCTTGCCGATGGCAGCACCGATGTAAGTGGTTAACTGAGGCATCTGGATCTGCTCCTCCTTCAAGTACGAAACGTTCAAGTAGACGGCAGCAAATGGGTACGCTCTGTCGGCACCCTTGGAGTAGAAGTCGTGAATGAGGCCCGTGGAGCCGTCAATGGTGGAGGCCAGGTCGAACCAGCCGAGAACAAACTCCTTGGGGTGAGCCTTCTTGTACAACTGGTAGAGCGTTTTGTGGGTGTGCTCCTCGATAGAAATGGAATCGCCTGTTTCTTGACAAGGCACCATGAAGGCATCTCTGACTTCGACGGTGCTGCCGTCATCGGATCTGACACCAAGCAAGGTGCCGATGATTCTCTTGTTCTTGTTCTCTTGAAGCACCTGCTTGGAGACGATTTCGAGGATTTTGAAAAGGGCAGGGTTGTGGATCTTCACGGCCACGGTCGAGGGCCCGGACGGCGCCGCAGGCGCTGCCACGGTAGGCCTGAACAAATGCATATACGAGTCAGACATTGGTGAGAAGGTAGGAGGTTTTGGTTCGATGATGTCGAGTTTTTTTCTTCAGCGGGTCACGTGCGCACAAAGGGTTCGGAGTGGGTTTTGGTGGATCGACTGCCGTTGGGCCAGAATTGGGATGTTAGTGGGAGGGCATGTGGTTTTATGATCGTTTTATTGGATGGGTGCTTTTGGAGTTGTTACTATGTGTTTTGTGTGGAATTAGTGTGTTGGTAATATTCGTGTTTGCAGCCACGCGAAGGTATACGGAGAGGTGGAATGGGCAGGTGAAAAATTGGGTGTTTTGGGGTGTTTCGGGGATATATTTGGTTGGATGGGTATTTGGAAGGCTCAAAGTGCTTTGTGGCAAATTTCAGGTATAATTCTCCATTTTGGCAAGAAGTTTGTGGATTGGTGATAGGCTGTAGCTTGTACTAGCTCGGTGTGATTGTGGAGTACTTGAAGGACACGAAAATTTACAAAACTAACTATATCATTGAAAAGGTCGCTTTTAATGTTTGCTCGCTGGTTTGAAATCTGTTCGTGTTTTCGTTACTATGCCCCAGCTTCACTTGGGAAGATATGGCCCGTGTGGAGTGGTAAATCGTAGCCCTCTCTCTCGCATTTTGTTTTATTTTTCAGGGATTTTGAAGGTGTTACTTTTAATTGAGAAGTACAGTCAACTTAATAAGGGAACAACCAAGGTTCTTCCTCGACATTGCGTACCATTCATAGTGCACAGTTTGCAGCCAACGACTGAGCCAATCTTTTGAACCAAGTTCCATTATAATACACGGATAAAGACAAAATTCACAATAAAAAAGCAGTAATGCTCATCAATTCCTTTACTGATACCTAGAGAACTACGGCTTGGCACGTATGGTGTTACTGGTTCTCATCACCATATATAACCCAAACAACCATGCTCCACATTTTATTCTAAAAACCTAAAAGTTCCTTCGTAACAGAGCTTAAACTTCTTTAACACTCACATCTAGGTCGAATTTTCAAAACACCTCCCAAAAAAAACCCAATTGCTTGGTCCACCCGGGACCTCCACCTGGTGAGACATGTTGATGGTAAACTTCGCGGTGGGTGCAAACTATCAACTACATGACCGAACACCCAAAACCCAACACATGGCTCTTTTCGGGCGACGATGTGCTCAACCGCCTGCCTTCACGTAAGCAGATGCTGCTTTCTCAAATCCTCAAGGTGTACGAGCTGATTTACGACTTTCTCGTCAGACTAGCCTCAGTACTCAAACTCGATGGAAGAACCATCCTAGCAGCCACAATCTACATCCACCGCTTCTACATGCGGATGCCCATCACCACGTCAAAGTACTTTGTGGCGTGTGCCGCTGTGGCCATTTCTTGCAAACTTCACGACACTTACAGACCTCCAGACAAGATAGCTCTTACAGGGTGCCAGATTAAGCATCCAGGCAAGCAGGTGGACCAGCATTCCAGCACGTTCTGGAGCTGGAGAGATCAGCTTTTGCATCGGGAGGAGGTGATTCTCAAAAACCTCAATTTCGAGGTGTCGGTGGATCTTCCGTATGAGATCACTGAAGAGCTTCTAAAGCAGCAACCCAAGGACCCAAAGGGCAACGGGTTTTACGAAAAACTACCCGACATTCTCAAAATCACTACGTCCAAAATCGAGCTTCTCAGCGCCTTGCCGGTGTTGGTGGTTTTTGACATATATACGTTGTATGGCGCCATGTTGATTCTCACTGTGAAAGAGGCCAAACAGAAGTTCGACGACATCGACGCCATTAATTTGCCTGAAGGGTACCTAGACTCCATTGGCGTCACCGCAGACGAATGCTTTGAGTGCTATCAGTTTGTGCTCAAGCTCCGAAGCCTCTGTGAGGACCCACAGCTTCCGAGCCACAGGATTGTGGTCAAGAAAATCACCGACATAGGCCGGGATGCCTTCTATAGCATAGCTAACGGCCATTAATTTGCATAATAACCCTTTCATGATTCATCCTTTTCGTTGTTCTCTTCATCAATGTCCATTTCTTCCTTGGCTTCCGCTGCTGGCTCAGCTGGTGCTTCAGCCGGTTCATCAGCAGATTTTTCGACACTTTCCTGTTCATTAGCATCTGCAGACTCCTTGGCTTCCGGTTTGACATCCTCCGTTGGCTCCTCCTCTTTATTCTCAGATGGACCGTCGTTCAGCGAGGGTTTCTGTTCTTCCTGTTCATCGTGAACCTCAGACTCCTTCTTTTCTGAATTTTGAGCTACTGGATCCCCACCTGCTGTTTCTTTACTCTCAGCCTCGGCATTGAGCTCGCTCTTCTCCCCACTTTCCGGCTTCTCGGCGCCCGTCTCCGACATCTTCACACTCGACGGTTCCGTCTCAACCTCTTGGGATCCACCATTAGGCGCATCCACATCCATGGGCTCAGGGGACTTCGCTGAGACCGGTGTTGCAGGAAAGCCGTACTTCTCCGTGTACTCGATGTACTGTTGGAGATCATCATTAAGCAAGGAGTCCTGGTACTTCACATTATACGGCAAGGCATCCTTGAGCTTCTGTGACGGCTGCACTCTCTCGACCTTTGCCTCTTCCTCGGTGTCGGCTTCTTGAATATTCAATAGTATGTGGTCATTTCTGATGTTGTTGTGGGCATGCGAAAGGAACTTCAGGTACGCGTCCTCTTCATCCTTGGACGGATGGTATTTGCTGTTGTTGTGGATGGGTAGCACCATGTCGTGAAGCACTGTATTCACGTATTGGAGATTATGGCCCAACTTGACGTCCTTCTCTGCCAAGTATGCTAACCAGGAAAGCTTGTCATTTTCAGTGACTTCGGCCTCCTCGAGGTCATCTGCTATGCCACCAAATTGAGCATTTGCTGGATTCTCTCCCAGTTTGAGCTGGTTGTAGTATTCCTGTCTTTCACGTAATCTTCGCTTCTTCTTCTCCTGGTCTGTTTCGGACAGTGTATCGATTTTTCTCTTTTCCATCAAGTTCCTGAGCTGTGAGCTTGGAACCTCACTCAATCTCTTGGACAAGTTGAAGTTGTCACTGAACTGTAGCCACTTGATGAAGGATTCTAGCGATTTGACATTGTATTCGGTTTCTGGTTCATTGGGGGCATCCTTAGGATCCAACAAGCTGTCGCCTGTCAGTGGCTTAATCAATTGCACATCTAGTAGAGCCTGAACCAAATCAGGAGCTTCGAGAACGTTGGTGCATCTTGAGCGGGCATGTCCAAACTTCTTAGCACTATTTAGCACGAGCTCAAAGTGCTTGATGTAGATATCTGTGATTGTGTTGAGGGTCAGCGGTTTGCATTTATCGAAACCCAGTGCTTTTAGAATCTGTGCCACGGATATTCGGAGCACGGCATAGAAGAACTGCTCGTCCATGGCGTCGTTGTGTGGATGGTTGTAGGAAGAAGTTGTTGATGTTTGTGTGTGCAGTGCGGTGGAGGTGCTACCATGGACATGGAAGAATTGGAGATGTGGAGGGGTTTTGAGATGGTGATTTGAAGTGAGTCGATTTTAAATTGCAATACTTCTTTTCTTTTTTCTTTGCTATTTTGTTCGGTCGTGAGTGCAAAGTGTGTGGAATGTGTCTACAGTATATGCTTATTATGCGATGTTCACTTCACCAACCTAGGAAGTACAAAGCTGTGAAGGAGAATGAATCAAAGGGTGTTAATCCACTTGCCATCAACTAACTAACGATTATATTATTTTTTTTTCTTTTCTTTTCTTCATTCGGTTAGACACTAGGGTCTCTACACTCGTCCTTCCATACTTGAGAAACAGTACAGTTGATAAAACCTCGAATATGACGTCTCACCCAGCTTACCTTCACTCCTTACTTTTCTCTTCTTCCTAAAAAAGCTTCTCTTCAAATCCCCCTCTCCCTACACCACCAATCCGGTACTTTTTCATTACTTCTAGAAACACCACGTGCTCTGCAAACTGTCTTACAAACCCTGCTGCAATCTCTCCTGAATCTTCTTTGATGCAAAGGAGAAGGCGTTGAACACACCTGACTCCATGTTGACGCCCACGGGGTTGCTGTTCACGGGCGGCTTCGTCACCCTACTGACAATAATAGCTGGGTCAATTTCCAAGATAATTCCGTCGTCGATAGCCTCATCGAAACACAAGGCCACCATGTCGTACTTCAGCAACACGGTGGTTTTGTCCAAGGAGTTGTCCAAGAGGATCAGCAATGCTTCGTTGATGTTATTGGTCAACGAGTAAAGCATGGACTCGTTTTCATTGACACCGCCAACGAGCACAATAATGATGTCGTTTGTCTGCTTGTAGGTGATCAAGTGGTTGTCGTACAAGATCACGTCCTGGTGCTGTTTATTTATCTTGGAGTAAATGGCTTTTTCAAAAGCAGCCTGTTCTGTGGCCGTTTTGTATGATTGAGCCTCGTCATTAAGACGGTAGTATTTGGCAAATAGCCTCTGGCCCTCGTTGCCCAATATTAAGGCTGCCGTGACTGTGTATAGCGATATGTTGAGGGACATTGGGGAATAGCACTGGACTGGATCTAACTTTTGGAAAGGTGTATCTTTTGGTGAACCTACACTGTATACAGGACACAACTACTACTACGCCTGGATCAACGATACTTTTGATTAACATGCGATAATTATGCTGGGCTACGCGCCCACAAGGTAGAAAACAGCTTCAAGAATCTTCTTCTGCAATGGGTTGCGTTCGTAGAAGTCGTCGGTCAAGCCATTAGTGGTGAAGTCGTTCGCTCTCTGCAGGGCAATGGCACGGAAGCCATAAACAAAGTTGATCACAAGGCCAATGATAAGCCCCAATGCAACCACCAAGGGGCCCAAGATGTTATCCAAGTGCTTGGAAGATCTCTCCATGATAATGGTTCTTCTCTTCATGAAGATGTAGTATCCCCAGATGCCTGAGAAAATGGTCAAGGCAAAGTAGATGTAGGCCACATACTCCGCCAAGCTAGTAGAGTTGGCACGGTGTGTTGAGGAGTAGATAATAAATGTCAACGAGGACAACAACGTGGTGACGTGGAGCCATCTGTTGAATGTACGCTCGTTGGCCAACCAGACCTTGGGCTCAATCTTCAATGGGCCAGCATTCTTGATATACTGGTCCGGCTTCACCACGCCAGCGGGCAAATCAATCTCTTCCTCCTCCGAGTCGACATCAAGCAATTTGGAGAACGTGTTTGGCAATTTCAAGAGTTTTTGGATGGGCGTCTTGCGGTGGTCGTCATCATCGTAATCATCGTCTGAAGACTGGTCCAAGTCACCACCGGAAACAGGAGCCTGGTCAGGTTCATCCACCACATTCTCGGAGACTGTAGGTAAAGCTGATTTCAGGGATGTGCCTTCTGCAGAGTCGAACGCCAGCTTAGACTCGTCGTTGAGATCACCAGCACCCAAAAGAGAACCAGAAAAGGACTTGGATCTGGCTGAAATGTCTGGCGAGGAGGAATTGGCCAACATCGACTTGAACTTTCTCAAGTTGTCTTCGTCATTCTGTAACTTGGCCAACTTCTGCCTCGTGTCGTTGTAGGCCTGCTGAGGGTCAAGCTTCAAGTCGGACTCCAACTCGTTGAACCAGAACGGGATGTTGTCGAGCTTGTCGTCCTCCAAGAACAACGAAGCAATACCGTGGATGAACTTGGAGAAGTTGGGGATTTCCTTGATCAAATGAGAGTGCACCAAGTCGTCAACCCAAATCAGTCTTCTACCCTTCTTTCTGTTCTTGATCTTGATTTCAAGCTCGGCGTATGGGAATTTGACGAACTCTCCCTTCCTCAAAAGAGACAAAGGATTGTTGACCTTCGAGTCGATATCGGTTCTGTGCCACTTGTTGGGGTCTCTGATGGGTCTTTGTTCATCGAAAGCATCCTCTCTGATGAAGTAGATATCCGAGTCAATGACCACACGCACTCTGTCGTCGCCAGGAATCTGGAAAGCGGTACGCTTGTACTGAGTTCGGAGACAGGGCTGGACGTGGTTGTCCTTGATGAAGTTGCCCAAAGAGTCAATCTGTTTCTCAATGTCATCCACAAGCTCAGGAGAGTCGCCCTTCCTGTGAAGCTTACGCAAATACTTCTGCTTGTCGAACTTGCCCTGGATGAAATCGTCCAAATGCTTCTCCTTAAGAGCAATTTTTTCATCCACATCGTACGTTTCCAGACTCTTCTCGAAACTCTTCTTCTCCAAGGAGATCTGAGGCTTATTGTTCAACTTGCCAACCCACTTGATACGAAGCGTGTGTGCATTGGGGCTCTTCACCAACTTGTTGTTGTACAAGTCGAAGTTTTCGTTGTCAAAGTACAAGCAATTGATGGTGGGGTCGTTCTTGGAGAACTTAAAGTCATCATCATCGTCATCGTCGTCGTCGTCGTCGTCATCGTAGTTGTAGGCACTTTCCCTGTTCTTATTGTTGTAGACAAGAACAGGAAGATGACGCAAGATGATGGCCTTGACCTCCATCAAGTTATCCGGGTGCACCCAGAACTTGTACGAGTTGTAGTCAGCGTTGGTCTCCTCGGTGAAGGAGCTCAACTTGGAGAGCGACTGGTCCACATCGTAATTGTCACGCAAGAACTGAAACAAAGCGGAGATCTTAAACAAAAGCGGCGAATAGTCTTCTGAGTGGAATGGCAACAGCTTCAAGCGCACGTTCAACATGGGCTTGACAGAGTACTTGGAATGCAACCGGTCATGCTTTTTCACAATCTTGATGAAACCAGTGTAGTTCAATCTCTGGAAGCGGGAGAGTTCCTGGGCCAAGTTCAAAATCAGCTCCAATTTGCTGCTGAAGGATTGTACATCGAAATTGGCGGTAGGAGACTCCGTAGCTTTCTGGAGGTCGTCAAGGTACTCGTTCAATTCGTCGTACTTGTTGGCCTGGAAGGAGTAGACCTTCTCCAAATCCGAGTCCAAGGCACTGACAAAGTCCTTTTCGTCCTTCTCTGACCACGCATCCTGAAGAATGACACCTTCCTTCAAAAGCTTCTTCAACCTGAGGTAGCTGATGTAATGGTCCTTCCAAGGCGGGTAGATTTCCAGCTCAAGCTTACTGCCAAATAACATCTTGGAAGAGGAGGAGTCCATGATAATTCAGCTTATTATCAGCGGATCGGCACAAGGAAAGCGTTGATTTGCAATAAACCTGTGCTAATGAGCTGTGAGGCCTGTAGTGCACACGGCGTTTATAGATAACGCCCACGTGGGGGAATTCACCACGGAGAAGGTGGGATATCAACTCCGCAAATTCAATTGAAATGAATCTACGGCGAATTGGCCTATCTTTATAATTCTACGACTATAGTGGTTGGGTGTGTTGGAGGGGGTATCTTCGTGGAGTGCACAAGGCGGTGTACCACTTGGCGTTCATAATCCTGGAAGTTAGACAAGATGCACGATGAATGTTCTAGGCTGGATTTTTGAAATGGCGATTTGGATGAATTGGCTGAGTGGGGAGGATTTATGAAGATTTGGTCAATTTCAAGGAGACATTCCCAGGTTTTCGACCCCATTGCGTTGACATTTGCAGCCAGTGCTACATTGGGAAGCTTCGATGCGCAGACAATGACGCGATAATCTGGTTCATTTGCGTCTGGAATTTTGTAGCACGGCTCCATGGGGCGGTATTTTTAGGGAAGTTTAATTTTGGGAATTTGGGGCAATTTGTGGATGTCTTGGTGGGCAGAGTGGTGGCGTTGACATATGGTTAATGGTTAATGTGAGGTTTTTGATAACGGTGTGTGGTATTTTTCACTCGTCTACATGTCGTTTTTAAGCCTCGGGGTCTGGTGTCTTGTCAGGTAATGGGTACAGGAAATGGCCATCGGTAGCTACAAGCATATAGGCCCTACTAGTAAACTGAGTGGTCAATTGGGCAAAAGAAACGGAATAAAGTGAAAGTACTTCAGAACTACCTTGTTCGAATTCTTGGTTGAACGGACCTTCTGGAAGTGCCACACCTAGCTGTCCTATGCATTTGCGACCCTCCTCCACTAGACCCACGACTCAGAGAGCTTCTTGAGGATTTCAAAGTCAATTGAACGACCCTCAATCGATAGCGACGTCTTTCGTTTTTCAAGGAATTCAACACCGGCTAACTTTTCAGCACCCACTCACAGGAAGGTGTATCTACGACATGATAAATGATGCCCAAGATTCGTCAATTTGAAAATTTTTGGTCTCTTCATCTTCCAATGCCAATAATTGATGGAAAAATCACCAATGTCTTTTTCTAGTCTCCGTGAAGCTGACTTCGCTTACTTTTCATCTTCTCATAGCGACTGCCCCTAAGCCCTATCCGCTTATCACCAATGGCTGCAAAACGCACCGTTGACCTTCCACACCACAGAACCGTAATACGACATCTGAGCTTCAATCTCGCCAAATCCTTCTAAATTCAACACTAATCCTTTCATCATTTTCATCCTTTCCGTGAAAAAAGTGCCCCCCTCCACTCTCATCATACCTACAACCTCACTATCTAGCGCGCATCAACTTGAGCTACAACTCTTCTCCATGAATCTGGCAAACCCCTTGTCCACACGAAATAGAATCCATTATGCGCCGCCGTCGAGGCCACGACACGAGCCTGAAATCACATACGACCTCCACACCGAGCCGGAGGAACCCCAGCATGAGAAACCTCAAAGGTTCTCCAAAGACGCAATCTACCATCTCATTTCCACCACATACTCCCTCCTCATAATAGCGTTTTTCAAGACCCTTGTGGACAAGGTGAAAAAGAAGATCGAGCCAAAGGCGGAGCTGGTTGAAACCCCTGTGGAGCCAGCTAAGCCAGAACCTAAACCAACACCTGCTCCAACGATACCACTCACCTTCTCTTCAGTGAGAAACCCAGATCCATATGCTTCGTTGTTTCTGGTGGACTCTGAGGAGGAGCTAGAGGAAACAGGCCAGTACGGCACCTCTCTTGCCATCAGCAGAAACAAGTTCAAGGCAAGATCTGAAGAGGACCATGCTAACCATATCCTGAACTCGACATCCATCTTGCCCAACAGGTTGCTAGATTCAGATATCCTAGCCGACACTGCATCTGACTTTTTCTCTCCTTCTAGACCCACGGACGAGTACGATGCTGCTGTGTCGAAGTTCTACCAACCATTCAAGCCATTGCCCAGCCAGAAGAAAACACTCACTGAGACCATCTTGGCTGGCTTCCCACTGGTGACTAGCGTTCTACGAGACGAACAAAAGAAGATCCAAGATCTCATCACCACCGAACGCAAATCGCTGGTTTCGGTGGTCCCTCCATTGGCCAAGGATCAGCTAAATATTGTACAAAGTTATTGGGGTTCACGCAACTCCAGCGGCCAAGTGGCCTCCGCATATTCCATTGATTTGACGGTCAGGGACCTCTCAACCTTGGCCGACGGGCAGTGGCTCAATGACAATGTCATTGACTTCTACTTGAACATGGTCACTGACCAGAACAAACTGGTCTACTGCTGGACCACCCATTTCTTCTCCACGTTGAAACAAAAGGGCTACCAGGGCGTGGCTCGCTGGGCCAAAAGACGGAAGATCAATCTTTTTGAAAAGGATAAAGTCATTGTGCCAATCAATATCATGAGCACCCACTGGGCTCTCGCTGTCATAAACAACAAGAAGCATACCATCAGCTATTTTGACTCATTGGCGTCCAGAGGTAACATTGCCGCAGTGGAGTTGTTGCAAACATATATGACGAAGGAGGCAGAGCGCCTTCTGCTTCCTCCCATTGACTACAACCTCATTGCTGGTGAGAAAACGCCGCAGCAACAAAATGGCTTTGATTGTGGAGTATTTACATGTACAGTTGCCAAGTTCATTTCCAGAGACCAGCCTCTTGGCTTCGGTCAACAAGATATGCGCAACATCCGCAGAAGAATGGCGTACGAGATCATTCTGCAAACCTTACTAGATAACCCTCTGGCACCCAGTGCTCACCTATGAGCATATAGAAAATGCATTAGAACCCAAAGAGACGCTTTTTTTGTTCAACGCCAACGTTCAGCACATCTTTGATCTGACCCTCGTACAGGCGAATTTTTTGTGTGCTAGCGTTGATCTTCTGCTCGATAAAAGTAAGTCTGTCTTTGAGCCAGTCGGAAGCGACCGCCTCGCCAATCTTACTGATCTCGTCCTCGAGTTGAGAGATCTTTGCATTCTCTAGCTTGATCAAACTCTTGATGAGACGGGTTTCGTAGAGCTTGAAAACTGCCTTGTCCTCTACCAAGTTCTTGAAAGCGGCCTTATACAAAGGCCTGCCTGTCTTGATGCTGCTGACAATACCCTTGTCTCTCAGAAGCAAAATCAAGTCGTTCTTTTCCAACACCAACAAGGTGCTCACTGTGTCAGCACTGTCACCGAATAGAGGAGACTGGGTCAACTCATCGAAAGTGACCAGGTCTTTGTTAGCAAGAAGCCGCATGAGCGCCCAGATCTGATCCGTGCTCCAGTTGTTTTCAGTATCCGCTTTGGACACATTCAAGAAGAAAGTAGTGATTTGTTCGGCGGCTTGAGTGACCATCTGGCGCAAAGCATCCTCTGCCTGCTCTCCGGATCTCACACGTCTTACAAACGCCTGAAGATCGAGCATTCTTCCACCAATTGGAGCCAAGCAGTGTTCAATCAGCGATTGCATTTCCATATCCTTCAACTGACTCATGACATACTGCTTTGCGCTTTGCATAGTGGCATCAGCCAAAGACACAGTCTTGAATACCTGGTTAGGAAGAGCTGCTGTCAAGTGAGTGGAGCTGCTGGCATCCAGGGTGATGAAAATAACGTGAGCCGTGTTGCTCTGAATAAGCTGTGCTGCCCATTCAGCAATCAGTTTGTAGATGAAGTCGTTTGGTGATTCAGATTTTCTCAAAAAGTTTTCCACAATGATGACTGGCTTGGCCTTGGGGTGCAGCTGGAGATAGTCGTCCTCTCTGATATCGTAGTTCTTGGAATCATCGTCCTGGTGTTTCGCCTTGCGCTGCTTAGCCAACTCGGCTTTGTATGCATCAAAGTCAGAGAGAGCGACCTTTCTGATCGCTGAGGCGGTCAACAGCAACATGTTCTTGAACTGCGTTTCCTTCGACTCACTCAATCCTGACTTCTGACCTGTCAAACCTTGAACACCCAAGTCGACAAACTGCGAGATCGAGTTGGTCCAAGTGAAAATAGGGAAGTAGCCTAATTGCGAGGCAGTGTTTTTAAGGAAAGCATTGTCGCTTCTAGCCTTGATCATTTGCTCACAGTCAAGCTCGAGCATTTTCTTGCCAAACTGGTGATCATCTTGCAAAGCGTTATCAACGACGAATTCCCTCTTTCCTGATCCTCTTGGACCTTTGACGATGATGAAAGTGTTTGCATTTTCATGGATCCACATCTTCACATCGTTGGCCTTCTCAGAACGCTCTTGTAGGAATAGGTTTGCCTGAAGGTCCATCAAGGGCATTTCTTCCAGCTCTTTGTTGGGGTCTCCGGTAATAGAGCCAATGGAGTCATCAATGAAAGTGGTTGTGTCGGTGATCCAATTTGCAAGAGTCTTGTATGGAATGTAGAACGCCTTCACGATCATGTTGTCCTTGTGGTTATCCCAAGTGAATCTGTGCTTGATACGGATCTGGATGAACTGCTCTCTGATCGGTTCGAAGATCAAAACGGCGGTAGTGGCCAAAATGGCAAGGATCAAAGGAATTGCAATTTTCTGGTGGTTGTTGATGGCATTGGCAATATAGTTAACCCGCTCAACGGGGATGTACTGCAAGTGCAAGGCCAGCTGACCATCGTTGTAGGTAATACCAGTCACACAGTTCTTAGCACGGATACACGAGTCGGTGTACTTAAACACAATGGTAGCGTAAGGCGTGCTGGAAGTAGCAGGAAAGATGTCCTTGATTTGACCATAGCGTCTGAACAAAAGGTACAATTCCTCCTCAGACAATGTCTCACCCTGAAACTTGACCTTAAGCTTAGGCGAGGGGAATCTACTCAAGTCCTCGATCCAGGGCGTACCCTTGACCTGGAATGCACTAGGAGCCGGTTTGAATAGCGCAAGGAAGGAGGATACTGGGTTCAGGTTCTTCTTCTTGTACTCCCTGATATTCTCCTCAAGCAACTTGGTGAGGTCCTTGGGAGTAGATGAGGGCGGTACGACAAACTTGACAAAAGCACCACCGTCCCTTCTCAATGGAACAAACTGCTGTGCATTGGTTCCGTCGGGAAGTGGCTTCTTGCCCCTCTCTACCATCTTGAACAAACGCTCCTTGAGGTGATCTTCGCTACCTCTCTTGAACCAGTTAGCAGGCTGCAAGTAACTCTTGAACTTGAGTCTTGCGAGCCACCGAGGATACACGTTATCGAAGAAAATAAGCACTTCGTGTTGTTTCTCAAAGTCAATGACACCCGTGGTTTCGTAGGAAATATCCAGGTCGTTCTGTGATGTTTCCAGTTTAAGGTTTTCCACGTCCGAGGCGTGTCTGGCAAACAGAACTAGCCGGCTGGGGTTCCGGCCAATCCGTGAATTGAGCCCATAAAGCCTTGATCTGAAAAGACTCATGGAGTTGGTTTGGAAGAATCTGGGGTTATCTGTTGCTACTACTGCACAATTTGGCTGCGAAGGCAAGATGCACCGATACGGGGGCGGATGGGATGGGTGGTGGTTTCGAAGGTGATTTTTAAAATGAAGTTTATTTGTAGTTTGTGGTTGAAGATGTCGATTCTTGTTTAGTTTCTTTTGGTAGTTGGCGTAAGTTTGATTGTTGGTGATATCTTTTGCAATATTACCTGTAGCTGCGAAATGTAAGACATAATACGGAGCTCGTCTAAAGTTATGAACTACATTTGAAAAAGTCGTATCATACAAATGGGGCTCATAGAAGCGGATAGTCTACTGCAGAACAATCCTGTTTCTTTTGGGAGACTCCCAGCAAATTCGTTGTTGCAGATGCAACCACCGTGCTCGGTAGATACTCATTAGTCCAGTAAGAAGATCCATAATTGATTAGACTGACCCTTCAATGTCAGATTTAATCGTTCCGTGTCTTCCTTGGAGGACCTTCACACACTCGACAACATCAGTGAGCTGATCACGTCCTTCTCTAGTGCTGAAGGAAGGTATTAAGAATAAGCATGGTAGGACATCTCCATCCAGAACAGCGTCAAGCCATACTCAAGCTGCCTTGAATAACATCGCTTTTCAAGGAGCCAGATCCTTCTTTCTTTCTCAAGACGCTAGATCTTCCTCAGGCTATCTTGTAATTGAAGCTTTGCTGGAGCGAACACCTATAAGTAATTACCCAGACAGAGCCTACATTCAACCGTCCTTCTACAACTCCATCGCAAACGCATGAAGAATATCTCAGCACAGCGGGGCCTTGCAGAATCTGCAAAGCACAATTGAGCATTTACCTAGCTTTCACTGTTGCTGATTGTTGATCTGGGCTTTCTTTTGAATCGCCATGCCACAAAGCAAAAGGCATGGAGATCTTCGAAAAAGCCGACAGTGGCACGGCGCCAGGCTCCTTGAAAGCAAAAGCATCCTTTGATTCCTAGGACACTGACGCTGTGACACTGGTATGGAAGAGAGTCTGGAAGAAAAAAAAAAGTGGTTGTTGATGAAAAAACTTATCGCATCGCGCATACACCTCTATACTAATCCAAATCGTGCTCACTCTCAACGAAGTCCCGGGTCTGTAGCGGACGCACCTTGCCTTCCGGATTTTGCTTCTCTCCCCGCTTGTACTTCTCCTTGAGGTACTCCTTCATCGATTTCAAAGCTGCCTCTCTAGACAACTCACGCAAGTCCGACCCACTGAAGCCGTGGGTCTTCTCCACGACCTTGTCAATGTCAAACTCCTCGTCAAGCGTGGCGTCCTTCAAGATTTTCTGTAGAATTGCTTTTCTTTGCTCCTTGTTGGGTCTGCCCACGGCAAAACGCTTGGGCAAACGACGCATGAACGCCAGGTCAATGTCGTTCATTCTGTTCGTGGCGCCCATGACCATGATACGGCCATTCAGCAAAAGGCCATCCCAAAGGGTCATGAACTCTGCCTTGAGCAAGGCCGAAACTTCGTGGTCCGTCAGCTGTCTGTCTCTCAAAAACGAGTCGATCTCGTCGATAAATATAATACAGGGTTGAAGCTTATTAGCGAGGGAGAAGATGGCGTCCACGATCTTGTTCAGCTCTCCGTACCACTTGTCCATGAGCGTGGACATGCGGATCAGAAGGAAGAATGCTCCACTTTCTTTGGCAATAGCTTTTGCCAACATAGTCTTACCACACCCTGGAGGACCGTGAAACAAGACACCCTTGGGCAGCAGCACAAGCGACAGGTGAGCCTCGAAAAGCTCGGGTTCTGTCAAGGGTAAGATGACAGATTCATGAAGCTCGTCTATGATGGACTCGAGACCTCCCACATCGTCGAAACCGGTAGTGATGTCGTCTGGTGTGACCAACGAATTAAGCAAACCCTTCTCGTGCTCGTTCAATGTGATTTTTTTGAGCTCGGGGTGAGTCGCCTGGATCTTCTTGAGGATGTTGGAGCCACTCTTCTTAGCCTGCTTCAGTTTCACTGAACTATCGAAATCTCCAAGCAAATGGCTGATCATGTAGTACATGGAGAGACCTGCTCCCGTGAGGAAGAAGATATCTCCTAGGAGCTTAAGGTCGACCTTTACGCCCCATAAATCTAGCTTGAACCGGTTCATGCTTGTGACTTTGGGGATATGATTTCGGTGCTCAAGGCCTCGGAAGACATGGTGCACGGGTGCGGAGCTAGGGAGGTCCCAGTGGTCTGTGACGATCTTGGGAATCTGAAAATATCAAAAAGTGTGTTTTTGGTATTATGAAGATGTCTTTTGAGCTTTGAAGTTTTGCAATCTTATGGAAAAGGAGCATTTGTGGATGTTGTGGTCTATATGTGGGGAGAAAGGTAGAGTACGAGAAGCGTCATTTTGGAGACAGCTATGAAATTTGAGATGGACTTAATTCTCAGCACTTGTTGACAGTTCGAAGTTGAATGTGAGATAGGTTTAGTGATTACTTTTGTAGTCCTTCTGTTTACCCTCTGTTGACATCTTCACTGCTGTATTGAGCATTTCGCAGCCAGATCTAATGAGGTACAAAACACGCAAACTGAAATTGTTTTTGGGGCATACTCTCAGAAGAGCATATTTCCGTCTCCAATAATAACATCTTCACTAACCGAGGGATTCCTAAGAAGTATTGCCGCCATTAGAGCCAAAAACGCCATCTGATCACGTGACCCACATCGCCTGCAGCAGCTGCAAAATAGAGAGATGCCTTGATGCTTGAACCCAAACTACATGGCCAGAACGGAACAGGAAAGGCATGGCATCCGAATCCCGGGCCAGGTGCTCGATCAGATCCGTGAGAAAGAAGGCTTGAATGGTGAAGACAGCCGATTCAAAAACAAACGGAAGCGCCAGGAGAAACCTGTTTCTCGTAAAGAGAAGAGGAAGGAGGAGAGGAAACTCAAAAAGCAGAAAAGGCTGAAACAGCCGCAAAACCACAATGAGCACAAAGCAGGACCTCTAGCTGCTGCTAAGCAGAAACTTCAAGAAAAGAAGAAATCACATCAACCACAAGATGATCCAATGGCTGCGCTTAAGGCTCTCAAGGCTAAAAAGGCTGCACCCAAGACCACACAGAAGGAGGTCAGAGTTGTCAAGGAGGATGATATCGATGATGATTTTAGTGAAGATGATGATCTTGGCGAGGACGATTTTGGTGGGTTTGAGGAAGAAGAGGAAAGCGATCCTCTAGCTGCATTGGCTGCACTCAAGGCTAAGAAGAACAAGACAAAAGAACAGGTGAGAGTGGTCAAGGAGAACGATCTTGATGACGAGCTTTCTGAGGGCGACTTTGACGACGAAGACGGTTTCGATGAGGGAATGGACGAAGATGTTGGAGATTTTGATGAAGACTTAGACTCTGCTGGTGACGATTTTGATGAAAACGACTTCGATGAAGAAGAGTCGTTGGAGGAGGAAGAGGACCCGTTGGCCAAGCTCAAAGCGCTCAAAGAACAAAAAAACAAAAAGGAGAAATCCTCTGCCAAGAAGGAGGAAAAGGCTGGTCCAGAAGCCGATTTCGTGGACCCTATGGATAACGACATCGAATACTACGCCAAGAAGCTCGGACTCAAGGACGGCAAGAAGGGCAAGCTTTCCAATGAGGACGATGGCTTAGACGATTTGCTAGATGGTCTTGACTTTGTGGACCAAGATGGAAGCGAGGATGCAGAGTCTGACGGTTTTTCAGTCTCGGACGATTTTGATTCCGAAGCGTCTGACTCTGAAGATGAGCCTCGTCGGAAAGAGAATCCTTTCGTTGCTCCTACAGAGGCCGCCAGTGATTCTGAAAGTGACCAGGATGAAAAACCTTCAAAGTACATCCCTCCAGCGCTTCGAAAGAAGATGGCGCTTGAAAAACTGACGGTTTCGCCTGAAATTCTTGCATTGCAGAAATCATTGAAAAGCGCCATCAACAAGTTATCTGAAACCAACATTGGTGGAATCGCTAACGACATCAATGGACTCTTCCTCAACAACCCCAGACAAGAGGTGACTGAGAATCTTGTGAATATCCTTCTCACCAGTGTTATTCAGCAAGAACGTCTTCTCGACACCTTTGTCTACTTGCATTCTGCTCTTGTTGTCGCCCTTTACCGTTCACAGGGAGTTGACTTCGGTGCATACTTTGTTCAGACACTTATAGAGAAGTATGACAGCTACAAGAGCGAGGGAAAGAAGAACAAGGAAATTCTCAATGTTATTTCGCTTCTTTCTTCCGTCTACGCATTTCATTTGGTTTCCTCGAAGTTGCTTTATGATCTTATCAAGGAGCTCATTCGTGACTTGTCCGAGGAAACTGCTGAGCACTTGCTCAAAATCGTCCGTACCTCTGGAAACCAGATGCGGTCTGATGATCCAACCTCCTTGAAGGAGATTGTGTTGGAGGTGACCAAAAAATCCAACACCTTGTCCAAAGATCAAGTCTCTCCCAGAATGCAGTTTTTGCTTGAGACCATCACGTCACTTAAAAACAACAAGTTGAAGAACAACAACGATGCAACCAACCAGCTAGCGCTTCGTTTGAAGAAGTTCTTGGGTACCTATTCCTCCAGCAAACTCACTGACTCATTACAGGTCTCTCTTGACGACATCAGAAGCGTTCACACCAAGGGTAAATGGTGGCTTGTCGGTTCTGCTTGGAAGGGAAACGAAGACAAAAACCAGGGTGACTTGGTCAACAAGGAAGTAATGAATGATTTCTTGGATAGTGCCGAGCCCAACTGGCTAGAGCTTGCAAAAGCCCAAAGAATGAATACAGACATCAGAAGAGCTGTTTTCATTTCCATCATGTCCGCAAATGATTACGTTGATGCAATGACGAAATTGGACAAGCTTGCATTGAAAAGGGCGCAAGAAAGAGAGATTCCAAGGATCTTGATTCACTGTGCTGTTGTTGAGCCTGCCTGGAATCCTTACTACGGTGTTTTGGCCTCAAAGCTCTGTGACAACCACTCATACAGAAAGACGTTCCAGTTCATGCTTTGGGACTTGATCAAAGGCTTTGATGGTGCCGGTGACGACGAGGAGGAGATGGATGTTTTCTCTGGGTTTGATGATGACATGGAGGATGATGAAAAGCTCAAAAAGATACTCAATTTGGGCAGACTCTTTGGCTATCTTTTTGCAGAAGGGTCTTTAGCATTGCATATTTTGCGAACCGTGAATTTTGTGACGGCCAGTAACGATACGAAACTTTTTTTGGAGGTTTTGTTCATCACCTTTGTGGACAATGTGGGCAGAAAGTCACAGGTAAATGCAATTGGCATGGGTATGAGCCACAAGAAGAGTCTGCACGAACAAAAGTTTGACGACAAAGTCTTGATTGAGAGAATTCTCAAGGCTAAGGAGCAGCCTGCTCTTCTTCGAGGCATCCAGTGGTTCATTGGCAAGAGATTGAGAAATAGTGATTTCGTCACAGGCAAGAAACAACGCAAGAGAGTTGAATGGGGTATCAACGCCATGCATGACATTATCGAGGAGTTTGCCAGGGAAGCTGAGTTTTAATGATGACGATTTCTATGTACATAGTGGTAATGCAAGGTTACTCGATAAGCTCGAGAATCGCAACGGATTCGACATGCTTGGTTTGGGGATAAAAGTCGAATCCAGTAAGCGCTTTGATGCGGTATTTTGTAGTAGAACGACGCTGAAGTGCTTCAAAGTCGGCCAAGTCTCGGGCCTGGGTGAAAGGGTTGCAGCTGATGTATACAATTGCCTTTGGCCGAAACTCAAGAAGTTGTTTCATGAATGCTGGCGTTGATCCCTTACGAGAAGGGTTCATCAACACAAGAGCCTCTTCGCCAACTGCTCCGCATTCAGCAAACTCCTTCATCTTGAACATTTCGTCAGAATTTCCTTCCACAAATACCGCCTTAGTGGGAATGTGCAAGCCGTTGATTTTGGCGTTATGAGCAGCGTACTTGATGGCTTTCAGTGCTATTTCAATACCAAAGAGTTTGCCTTCATCTGGGAGCGTTGACGATAGACCGATTCCGAGAAAACCACATCCGCAATACGCATCAACGATATAGTTGTAATCGATGCTCTTGACATTGCATTTGATGTAGTCAAGAAGAATAGGAAGAATGCTGCGGTTGTTCTGGAAAAACTCGTTGGCCTCCAACTGAAACACATATTCATCCACTTTCTCAGTGACCACATTCTTTCTCTTCGTGAGACAGACATCCTCAAACTCACCCGTGTTGTGGTCAATCCTGATACTCAGTCGAAGAACGAACGTGGGATCCACCTTCTTCTTTGAACCGTCAATGAGCCCCTCTAGGTCTTGGTTGAAACGCACCTTCTCTTTCGGAAGAGCCATATTTATTTCTGGAGATGCAACTGCGCATGAATCAACATCCACAACAGGTTGCATTGCTCTCACATCGAGAAAACCAACTGGAAGCGGTAGATCTTCTGATTTGAGATCTTTGGGTATTTGGGCGTGGGGTGTAAGCTTTGTACGGTAAGCGAATTGCATGGGGGAGGGCATAACCTCTGCAAAATTTGGAGGTAGGTTATCAAAGATCTGTGGAAAGAAGTAACGGTAGGCCTTCTCGATAGTTCTTTTCTTGAACTGAAGCTGATCTTCGTAGCTCAACATCTGAAGTTGACAACCAGAGCACTTGCTGAAATGCTTGCAAACAACGAGCCGGTCGTTTCTCCTGCTCTGTTTGCGTGATTTTCTGGACACCAGGATGAGTTCAGCTTCTGCAAAAAACATATGGTGCCTTCTTAAGGAAACGGTCACAATATCTCCAGGAACTGTTTTTGGGATTGCAACAACCGTGAAGTCGTTCTCAGAAGCATCGCTATCGTACCTTTGCCTCGGTATAATGGCTAGACCCTCTCCCTCGTTGGTGACGTCTAGAACCTTCACTCCGTCAATGTGAACGTCTTCATAATTCTTCATGAATAAATACTTGTGGATAAGGTGCTCGGGAATTTTGATACTATCGAGCGACATGTCATGCTGGGATTTCAAAAGATCGTGTATTTCTCGTTGGCGGATATTATCTCGAGAGGTCTTATCGGTGGTACCTCGTTTTGTTTTTCTGCTAAGAATGGACTTGTACAGCTTGTGTCGTATGGACATTATGGTATTGGGAGTCCAATTCATGGACGGAGCCCGAGGAATCGCTATTCGGATCGACCGAAGCATCTCATGTCCTGCTTTTGTGGAGAAGTGCGATGAGTTGAAAAACTGCTTACTTTATCGCGAGTAATCAATTTTCTGCAGCCGCGATTTGATGGCCCTCAGGAAGCGCGATAGTCTCGTGCTCCTCAGGGTATTGTCTCAAATCGAGACCGATAGTCTTGGAACAATTCTCCCTCTGGTCTCTGTAGATACCCACTAGCGCATCGGAGTTCTCAAACATCGTGCTCTTCAACGAGATAACAATAAATTGGAAGCCTGGGCCTGCGCTTTCCTTGATGTACCTGGCAATCTTCTTCACATTACTGTTGTCCAAAGCTGCATCAATCTCATCCAAAACAAAGAATGGGGAAGGTTGGAATGAGTGGATAGCAAAAAGCAAGGCCAATGCAGCCATTGTTTTTTCACCTCCGGATAACAATTCCATGTCCCTGAAGCGTTTCAATGGAGGCATAGCGTGGTATTTCACACCTGCAGCAAATGGCACTTCATCGTCCTCCAAGGTAAGGTCAGCAGACCCACCAAGAGGAGAGGCAGGAGACTTTGTGAGCGCCTTGTAGACTTCATCTATGTTGCCAGAGATATGGTTGTAGGCATCCATAAACAACTCCTTTCTCTTGTCTCTAACTTCATTGAATTTGGATGTTACTCTGTTGACCTCGTGCTTCGCCTTACTGAATTCTCTGTCAAACTCCTTGAGTCTTTGGTCTACCTCTTGAAGCCTTTCAAGAGCCTTGGCATTTGGTGTTAAGGCGTGCAAATCGCTATCAATCGTCTCAAGCTTAGCGCTGATTTCTGCTTCCAATCTTGCAGAATACTTCTCCTGATACTTGGATTCAAGTAAGCCATAATCAATGTGCACCTGATAAGCAGCTTCGGAAATATTCGCATCGTCGAGTGAGATGGCGTCCAAAAATCCATCCTCTAAAGGAAGATCGATATCCTCAATCTTGCAATTTTTGAGCATATTGAGTCGCTCAGAGTCAATCTTCATGAGCCCCTCTTCATAATGAGTCATCTCTCTGGTCAAAGTCTTCACCTCATACTCGAGCTCCTTCATCTCAGATTCTCTCGCTGCTGCACTCCTCATCTTCTCTTGCATTGCTTCAACCAAAGCAGTTTTTGCTTGACTCTCTGCCTCCACCTGTTCCTCAATTTTCTGCAAATTTTCTCTCGCCTCAGAAAGACTCTCGATGATTCTCTCGAGGTCTTCCTTTGTGGAAACAATGTCGGATTCGAGTTTCGACCTTCTCTGCTCAGTCTCTTGAATCCTGTCTCTCTGGAATGCAACCTGATTTTCCAAAGAAGAAATGGCTTTTTCGAAATCAGATCTCTCTCGTGTTCTGGCCCTGAGTGCCGTGCCATGCAATATCTCGTAGTCAACAATAGAAGCAAGTCCAAACTTGTCACAGAACTCTGAATAGACCTGTTGCTGGAGGGATCTAATCTTTTCCTCGAACTGAGCTATCTGATTTTGCAAATTGTCAAGATCTTGTTTCTTCCTCTCGAAACGATCAGCAATCTCTTGGCTAGACTCCTTCAAAAATTGAATCTCCTGGTTTTTCTCGAACAATTGACGCTCCAAAACAACAATCTGGTTTGTGATTGATGGTTTTTGCGCATCTAGCAGCGAAATCTCTTCGGAAAGGGAGTTGATATCAACAGCGGATGGTTTCTCGGTTGCGGTCTTCTCCAATTCCGCAGTGATATCATCCTTCTTCTTGAGTAGCTTTTGCATTTCTTCTTTGCTCCAACGTCCAGTTGCACTTGATCGCTTGTCTTGTAGACCACCGGTCATGAGGCCGGATTTGTGGATCACAGAGCCATCAAGCGAAACTATCTTGCAATGAAGTTCGTTCTGCGAGCTCCATTTGAGACTTCTGGCCGTCTCTAAGTTATCGACTATCATGGTGTTTCCCACAACGTATTGCACAGCCCTCTCGATAGATGGATCTTCGTACTTCACGATATCGATTGCTGGACGAGCGTCCTCATGTAATGACCTAAGGTAGTTTAAGTTCATCGATTCATTGACAACAGAATTCAACGGAATGAAGGAGGCGAGACCAGCACGCCTTTCTTTCAATGTTTCAATGCACTTATGAGCAGTTGCGGTTGTATCGACGACAACAGAGTCAAAGTCCGCCCCCAACACTGTCAGTAGAGCCACATCATATTTTCGTTGGCTTGCGTGGACAAGCTCGTACACAAGTCCTTTAATCGACCCTTCGGGAAGTAATGCCTTGAGCATCGAGACGTTGTCGCGTAGTTCCCTCTGTTTCCTAGACTCTTTCTGCTCAGACGATAAATCTTCTAGTCTCGACATCACATCTCTGAGTTCAGAGTTCAATTCAAGCATTTTGAACGAAACTCTTTCCTGTTGCTCTTGTAAATTTTCTTTCTCTTTCTGCTTCTCCAGTCTCATCTGCTCCACCTCCTGTAATTTTGCATTAAGGTCATGCAAGGACAGGCCAAGGTGTACTTGCATGTTGGACTCCAACTCTTTGACACGAGAATCGTACTGCTCCTTCTGCAGATCGAGATCCTTTAGGGACATGTCAATTGTGACCTTGTCGGCTTGGAGCACAGCTAAATCACGCTCTAGTTGAGAGCCCGAGTCTGCCAAGAATGTATTTCGAAGGGCCTCGTACTCTTTCACACCCTCCTCTGGAATGTTGACCAGCTGTTCCAACTCAGCAATCTTTTGGTTGAATGCTTGATACTGCGCTTCAGTATCGTTAAGTTTGGCCTGAAGTGCTTGCTCCTGATCTATCTGGATGCGAATATCAGCCTCGAGATCCCTTACTTTCTTTGTTGTGAAAGAGATTTTGTTCTCGAGAAGCTTTTGACTGGATTGCAATGGTAATGTAGAACGCTTGGTAGTTTCGGCTTGTTGTCTAAGCTCGGCAATGCGGGAGTCTTGTTTCTTGACTTCCAACTCATGTGTGGTGGTCTCTGCAGCCTTATTCTTGAAGTCATCTTCACACTCGGCAAGTTTCCGTCTAGCTGCAAGAGCCTTCTCGGATGTCAATCTCACATCGCTCTTTAATTTAAAGTGCCTGCGCTCATTATGGAAGAGCTTGTACAAATGAGCCATCTTCGAATATTTGTTCTTCTCTCTGAGCTTATCTTCAAAAAGTTCACGCTCTCTCATCTGTTCCTTGTACTGTTTGGACTCTGTGGTAAGGTTACGCTTTCTTGAGAAAACCTCGGCGTGGAGCTCCACGGCCTTTTCTTTTTCATCTCGGAGACGATCATATTCGCTGGCAAACTCAGCTGAGCCGGAGATGGTTTCGATTAAGCTGGCAAGCTGTTTAGGCTCCTGAGAAGCGATGTTCTCGATATCGCCCTGGAACACAAGAAAGTTCCGCGCTTTGACCAATATGTTTTCCTCCTTGAGCATCATTGTATATTGGAGAGCAGTCACGCTTTTATCGTTGATCTTGTACTCGCTAGTGCCTGCTGAGTTGATGCTTCTCTGGAGCACCATCTGCTCTCCGAATTCTTTTTCATAGATGGCTTTAACATATGCTGATTCACAAACTTGCGTGGGCTCTGATTCGTCAATACGGCCTCTGTATATCAAGTCCTTGAGGGTGGAGGACCGCAAATGGTACGACTGAACGCCCAAAACGAAGGACATGGCATCCATCATGTTTGATTTTCCTGCGCCATTAGGTCCAATGATCGACGTGAAAGACGAGTCACCAAACCCTACGGTGGCAGTACCTTTATAGGATTTGAAGTTATGCAATTCTAGCCCCAATAATCTGCCCATAGTGTGAGGTAGTTCTAGGATGATGGTTTATTTTGATGCGATCTGGGGACGCGTTGTTGATGTTGGTGTGGTGCACGGGTGCAGCACCGTATCAGTACCTGATAGCTGAGAGATGCATTAGGGTACTTTGGTGAAAATGAACTCTTTTTTTTTTTTGTTACCTTTTCTTATCTCAAATGTTCCATCTTTTAGCCTCTCTCGATTGTTCCCTTGACATTTTAGCTGTATTGAGGTAGATATCGAAAAGCAAGTGTACCTCGGTGAATGGGCTATTGGAGATGTTCGAATCAACAAGAGCAAAGTACAAGCCTTTAGTGATGACGAAATATGAAAGATTACTCTGAAAATTAATTAAATCAAGATTTACGATTTAGTGAAATGCGATTGAGCCAAAAGCCATACTACAGAGATTTCTTTATGCAAGCACCACTGATGAGTCGACATTCTTCAAAACACCAATCCATACCTGAGGGCTTTTAAATAGTGTACTTCAGATATATTTTTGCTTTTCTTTTCAAAGATATCACCTTCTAAGGAGAACCCCTTCAGCTTGTTTTAGCACATATCTCACATTTTGAGTGAACACAATGCTATCACCTGCTATCCCATTCTAATGAAGAGGAACTTCCCGGAGAAGTAGCTCATAGATCCAACGAAAATCAAAAATTATCACAAAACGATAGAATTCATAATATGGTGGTTCCCAGAAACTCCGAACTGCCTCACCAAGCCTCACCTCACCTGATCTGATAAGCTTATGCTTCAGACAACATTAACAAAGAATATCAAAAGATCTTAAGATATTTCTAAATAAATCGAATCCACCAAAAATTCTTCAACTAGACGCTCCACAGACCGACCTCGCTCAACAAGTCATCGATACTCAATAGACGCCGTGCGTATAGTGGATCTGCTGCCACGGCAAAACCCAAATTCTAGGGCAAACAAAGCAACTCATCTCTAAAAGTTCAAGTCTTTTCCCGTCTATTTCTTAAACCCGAGTTTTATTCAATTTGGGCCGGAGCCGTACCATCACGTGAAGTACCGACCTTATCTCACTGCTCATCCACACTTCTCAACCACCATGGAGAAACAACCTTTGCTTCCTAAAGACACCAAAAAGTGGTCTTTCAAGGAGTGGATTACCAGCTGTGTGCCTTCACCGGCTGCTGATATTAATGATGACGAATTGTCGAAAATGCTAGTTTCAGAAAGCCCTCTGGACAGGGACCCTCTTCCAGAACTTCCCGCTCCAGAGTGTGTTGTGTCTGAAATGGATGCTGGAGAGAAGCTCCAGAGACTTCGGAAACTCATGAAGAAGCATAACATTTCCGTATACATTATTCCCTCTGAGGACGAACATCAGTCCGAATACACAGCTGTGGCAGATAAGAGAAGAGAATACATTTCGGGATTCAAGGGTAGCGCTGGAATTGCCGTGGTGACTGTGGATGATCCTGAAACCTTAAGTGGTGAAGCTGCCTTGTCGACTGATGGTAGGTACTTTTTGCAAGCGGAGAAGGAGTTGGACAAGAAACACTGGAAGTTGTTGAAACAAGGCCAGGTCGGCTATCCCAGCTGGCAGGAGTTTGCGCTTGAGCTGGCGTCCAAGAGCAAGTTGTCTAATGTTATTTCTGTTGATCCAAAGCTCTTGAGTCTTTCTTTGGGCCAGTACTTCAGCAGCACCCTGAGATACAGAGGTGTGGTGTTCAAGCCATTTATTGATCACAACTTGATAGACAAGGTCTGGGGCGACGAGAAGCCCGCTAGGCCTCAAGACCAAGCATACGTGTTCACTCCCCAGTATGCTGGTGAATCAGCTAATGAAAAGATTCTGAGGGTCAGAGAGGTCATCAAACAAAAGGAAGCATCCCATTTGGTCATCACCGCCTTGGACGACATTGGCTGGCTTTTCAACTTGCGTGCCGATAACTCGATTCCATTTTCACCTTTCTTCTTTGCTTACGCTATCGTGACGTTGAAAAAGGTGTACTTGTATGCTGAGGATAGCCTTCTTGAGTCTGTGGAGCCATACCTCCATTCAATCGATACTTTAACGGTCAAGCCTTACAAAGCTTTCTACACAGACTTGGCCACTTTCAGAGCCACCATCTATGACCACTCCTTACGGGTCATTTTGCCAGCTAAAAGCGCTTGCAACTATGCTCTTCTTTCGTCATTGCCTCTGTCGGTTTCTAGACAAACGGTTATCTACGACTCCATTGTGACCATTCTCAAGTTGATAAAAAACAAGACCGAGCTTTTCAATGCCAAAATAGCACAAGCCAAGGACTCCCTTGCTTTCATTATATTTTTTGCCTGGTTGGAAAACGAGTTGATCCATAAACAAAGAGAAGTTTCCGAGTACGAGGCAGCACAAAAGATATTTGCAATTCGCTCCAAGCTTCCTCATTTCAGGGGCTTATCTTACGAAACCATCTCTTCAACTGGCCCAAATGCTGCCATCATCCATTACGCTCCTACCAAGGAAGACAACGCCATAATCGACCCAACGACGCCTTACCTCATTGACTCTGGAGCACACTATCTCGAGGGCACAACTGACATCACAAGAACCTTCAAGTTTGGTCATGAAGGCATCACCCCTGAAATGAAGAAGTTCTTCACTCTAGTGCTCAAGGGCCATGTTGCTGTGGCTACTGCTAAATTCCCAGAGAGCCCATCTGCGGGTACCATTTTGGATTCTTTTGCTAGACAACCACTCTGGAACGAAGACTTGGATTTCAATCATGGCACGGGTCATGGCGTTGGTGCATTTGGAAATGTTCACGAAGGTCCATTATACATACCGCTGGGCGGTGGAGAGGTGAACTACTTCAAGGAAGGTGCAATTGTCACCGATGAGCCAGGCTACTACGTGGATGGAAAGTTTGGTTTCAGGGTGGAGAGTGAACTAGAGATCATTGCTTCTGATCCTGTGAAACCTTACAGAGGCTCTAACTTCTTAGCTTTCAATTACTTGACGAAGGTGCCTTTGGGTCTCAATCTTGTTGATCCTGACTATCTCAGTGCCGTGGAGAAACGGTGGATCAACAGCTACCATAAGTCGATAGTCGCCGATTTCGGCACGAAGCTACTTGATCTTGGCGAGTACCGTGCTTATGCCTGGCTACAAAAGGAAACTGTCCCAATAGTGTAAATTATACCCTCCTGAAATGATAGTAATAATACATGCGTAAAGTAAATGGTCATTATTTCAGCTCGAACGATGCTGAGTAGAGTGGGGGGAACCCAAGGTTCTTTCCCCGGTTCTGTGGTTTGGAAAATGCTGGTCTCTGGAAACTTCCTGGCTTTCTTAAAGCCGATCTGCCACCATAATTAGTACTTTCTGTGCCTGTGCCAACTTTGTTGGAAATAAAGGGCAGTGGACCCTTCGGTAAAGGCCCAGGCGCCTCTTCCTTAACTGACGACACGGTGCTTCTGTACAGCGGCATCTTCAAACCTGCGTTGAGGTAGCTTCCTGTGGTTGCATTAGATATGGAGCTCCTCAACTGGTCTATCTCGGACTGGATACGAGACATGGAATTCTTGTCCTTTTCCAAGAATTTATTGCTCAGGTCTGCCAACTTGACTTTCTTATTGTCGCTGTTGACAAAATCGAGACCGAGCCTCTTCTGTGAGTTCCTAAGGATCTCTAAGGCAGAAGCACCCTTCCCTCCGGATGCACCTCCTGTCAACGCTGAGATCCTGCTTAGGAGATCTTTGGTGTCTGCTGGTTGTGCTGTGGATGAATCTTCGGTTTTGAGAAGAAAGGACAATCTGGAAAAGTCCCCTGTTTTCACAGCAGAATCTAAAATTGAATTCAAGATCAGAGTGATAGCATTGGTGACCGCCTTTCTGTCTGTCACGCCTAACGTAATGGCGTATGAGCTGGAGATAACCGCCAAGTAGGCAGATGCTGCAGTCATGATGGACTTGGAATCTTCTCGAGCTCCAATTTCGCTGACTAGGTTGAACCCGGTTGTCAAGCGATCGATGAAGACACTATCGTGTGCCAACGTGCTTGGGTTTTTCGAGGACTTCTCCATGAGTTCTTCTGCAAAAGCCAGATTCTCAGATGACTTGTTGCCCTCCTTCTTCTGCTTAGCCAAACGTTTCTCACGCCTAACGTGAAACTCTTCCTCGATCCATGTCTTCTTCTCTGGGGTATTCTCTTCGCCAAACATCACGTTAGCCCTCTTGATCACACGAGAACGGAGGTCATTATCCTTGTTGCGCTCGATGTTACCTTCTCTCCACTTCTTCTTGCGTTCTCTGTTGTCGATACGAATGCGCTCCTTGTATTCGTCGGATTCTGTATCAGGCTTGACACCTAATACAGCATTCTTGCCCCGCAAGCTCCCAAAAGAAGTCAAGCTGTTGAAAATCGAAGTGTGAAATTCAAGCATATTGCTGGGTTCCGGTTTGGGAACTTGAACGGTGCTGACGATCAGAGGTACATTTTCCTTCGAAAGGAGAACCTCCAGAATGTTGTCTATAATCACAGAAGACTTTTGAGTTGTATCGAAGTCACTGCTCGTGAGGAACTCTTTGGCATTCTTCAAACTTTCAACGTGGAAGTGGTGAACTTCTGGCGTCTCCCGAAGTGAGTTTGTAATTTCTTGCACTATGGCACTGGTGCTCACAGTGCTTTTGTTAAGCATCAAGGCGTTGGTCATCTGACGAATAAGCAGCATCAAGTTCTGTGATTGACTTCCAGATTGTATATGCTGTGACAACGAGGAAAGGATGTTAGACAAATGAGGATTAGACTGTGTCTTTTCTGCCTCCACTGGCTTTTCAACGACAGGCTTCTTTGCACCCATGTTAGACCTATGGAAGGCCAAAGTTTCAGCAATGGAAAGAGACTTTCTTGGTTCCTCTGCTGGTTGAACATCTTTCTTATTGAGTGCATCCTTGACGGAGAGTGCTGCAATAGCAGCTGCTGTAGAGACCGTCAGATCTTTAGCTGATGCTGCAGCCTCCTTCACTTCTGGGGGAAGAGCTAGCTCGGGTTCTCCTTCAAAAGATGTAAGAAGTTCTTGTGGATTCTGCATCGCCATGTTGAAAGCATTCTGAAAGATCTCGTTCATTTGCAAGTTCTCCAAGTCATGTTCCTCTGCTTCCTGCTCAGCACCCTTTTGAGGAGCCTTACGGATCGCAGTTCTGACAGCGTTGGCAAGAGCACTGGAGATGGCTGAATCGTGGTGTCTTTCCTCCTCCTTATCGGCCTCCTTCTGGAAGTGCATCAACACATTATCGTCAATCAGTGGCACATCAACCTTTCGGCTGTGCTCCTCACTACCTTGCACTTGGTTTGTAATTTCAGCGGCCAATTCCTGAAGAACATCTTTCGGTATAGCACCCTCGACATTCTCAGACTCGCCATCACCGGCCATTTGCTGCACAACATTCGACACTAGTCCGGCTAGGTCAATGTTGTGGTCCTTACCTTCAGAGATCGACTCACGACGGGCCTCTGCAAAGGTTGAAAGTGCCGCATGGAGTTCGTGATCTGATGACTTTCTCTCGTGGCTGGTTTGATTCTCATCCACAAGCGATTGAAAAGCTGCGCCAATGGCATCTTCTAGATTAGTGTCGTCCTGGGCAGATTCAGACTCGTGATGCTCCAGCTCGTGACTCTCGTGCTCCTTAGATTCCAGATGTTCGGGTTGATGTTCATGTTCCTGCTCATACTTGTGGTCCGAGGAGTCCTGCTCCCCACTATCGTGTTTATCCAGGTTGAAATTATCTGCTATACTCTTGAAAGCATCTCCGATGACATCTTCAAGATTGAGTTCCTCAGGTTCCTCCTTCACGTTATCTGATTCGGCCTTCTCTGGCTCCTTAGATTGATCAATTGAGGCAAAAGCCTGTGACACAGACTCTTCTAGATTGAAATCGTCGTCTCTTTCTTCATGATTATCCTGTTGTTCATCTTGGTGCTCGTAATTCTCAGATTCGTGGTTATCTGGTTCATCTTGATGTTTGTTTTCATCAATAAACCCGAACTGCTTAAAAGCATCACCAATTGCATTTTCTAGCGCCATATTGTCTTGGCCACTGGGGTCATTTTCATGGTATCCAGGCAGGCTGGGCCCGGAAGCTGGCCTGTTATCGTTTTGAGACATTTGATAATATGGGGTACAGCTTATCGGTCACAAGGGCTCTGTGACTGTTTTTTTATCCTTCTCATCGGAGGTGTTGGTACTCGGATGTGTATGTGCAGGAGACACCAGGCCGACCACAAATACACCATTGATTTAGCTGGTATTTCTCATGTTTGGATTGTCAAAGAAGTATATGATGAAGCAGGATTAATAACCAAGGCTGTTACGGCGTTATTTCTCTTTTTGATTGGATTATGTGGCCGAAAACGCACATGTCCTGAGGTATTGTCAGGTGAGGTTTGATGGAAGTAAGAGAATTTAGGTAGCACGACGTATTGGTATATGAGTTATGGCTCTCAGCTTCTAGATGAGTAAACTTTCTGATGGATCTATAGTCTTTTTAAAGTTTATTTCTTGGATTGCATTGCCTGTCATTATGGCTGCGAAAAAGGACCCTGTGAGGCTCAATGAACCCTGATTTAATGGGTACATGCCATACCTAGAGCCTCTAGCTTCACTTTTTTATGCTATCAAATGAAATGTTATACTCCGACTTGTAGCTAGTTCTCTTCTTTACATTAACAAGCTTCTGGCATGGTCAGGTTATGCAACCACCATACAAAAAGGTGACATGTATTTCACACGCATGATTGAATAATTTAGGCCATGGTATTTTCATTCCATAATTTACGAAGTAGATTTTAAATTATTGCTATCTGTATCGTCGTAGAGCTAACCACTAGACGAGAACTCGTATACTTCACATTACGCTTTAAGCTTTCCATTGTGGCGGGCTTTGAACAATATGCCTTCACGAGAACCTTATTGGGTAAGGGCGAATGAAGTTCAAACAGTTTCAGGGCAACAGGCCAATCTTAATAATCCAATGTCAAAAGAACTTCTTTGGTAAATCCTTCAATTTCCCGTCTGATCACTCCGATAACTCTCTAACATGCAATTCATCAATCTCCCACTGAACCCAGTCTGACTCTCAACTTAATTTCTCAAAATTGATTTAGAAACATTTCACCCAAGGCATTCTTTCCAATAGGATCCTTGTTATATTTAGATCACCTTAGGATACGGCAATGATGACCCAACTTCCCGATGCTATTCTCGTCTACGTAGCTTGCTTTCCCATCATGTGAAACCAATGAAACCGCAAACAATTCACCGTCAAATGAGTCCATCTAATTCAAAATGACGAAAAACATCAAATTCTAGAATCACCTGGCCATATCTGAAAAATTCATCATGCAATTTCTGGAAATGTGTCGATCGCCACTCGTTATCGCATATTGCAGCCATGGTGCAAATCAACCCACGCAATGTCCCCGAAAATTCGATGAAAAAGCCGTAGATAATAAAAACAACTCGTTCAATAAAGATAGCCCCAATTACACAATAAATCAACGGCTATTTGCGGGATCGGACCGTGCCCAAAAGTAGGGCTTGCTGGGAGGACGTGCACATAGTCAGGGTGTAGACATGATGCTCAACCCACAAGCACACAATTACAACCACAATGCAAGTAACCTTCAGAGACTTGAAGAAGCAGACGGTGCAGGTCGACGTCGAGCCCTCCGACTTGGTATGTCTAAGATTATTTCACTTTTTCAAATTCAACTAACCTCCAGGTCCTGCTGGTGAAAGAGAAAGTTGCCGCCGCCAAGGATGTTGATCCACTGCAATTGAAGTTCGTCTACTCGGGCAAAGTGCTCCAGGACGAGAAGCAATTGCAAGAGTTCAAGATCAAGGAAGGCGACTCCATCATCTTTATGGTTGGCAAGAAGAAAACACCTACTCCTCAGCCCACTGAAAGCAAGCCAGAAACCAAGGCTCCTGAGGTTAAGGAGTCTACACCAGCTGCTGCTACTGAAGCCCAGGCTCCTCAGGCTGCCGAGGGCTCTCAGGGTGGATCTACAGCTGCTGACTTTAGCTCTGGCTCCGAAAGAGAAGCTGCCATCCAAAACATGTTGGAAATGGGCTACGAACGTCCTCAGATAGAACAGGCCTTGCGTGCTGCGTTTAACAACCCCCACAGAGCCGTTGAATACTTGCTTACGGGAATTCCCGAGTCGTTGGCTGCTCCTCCGCCAGCTCAGGCTCCAGCTGCCCCTCAGGCTGCTGCCGCTGCTCCTACTGCTGAAGCTGATGTTTCCAGAGAGGAGGAGCCAGAGGCCCACGAGAACTTGTTTGAGGCTGCCGAGGCTGCTGCCGCTGGCGAGTCGGGCGCCGAAGCCCCTGAAGAGGCCAATCTCGACGACCACAGCAGCCAATTGGCCACGATCCGTGCTGCGCTCCAGAACAACCCCGAGTTGATCCAGCCCATGTTGGACCAGCTTGCGGCATCGAACCCTCAGATCGCCGAGATGATCGAGCAGGACCCCGAGGGCTTCATGAGACACTTCTTGGGCACTGGCGGTGACGACGACGACTTGGGCTTTGAGGTGGAAGGTGAAGGCGAGGGCGACCAGGAGCCTGGCACCGTCCGCATTGCATTGACGGAGCAGGACGAGAGCGCCATCAACCGCTTGTGTGAGTTGGGCTTCGAGCGCAACTTGGTGATCCAGGTCTACATGGCTTGCGATAAGAACGAAGAGGTGGCCGCCGACATCTTGTTCCGTGACACATAGACGACGACGACGCAGAAGCTGCTGACCAATGTATACTATATCCGCATTAAAGCGACGCTACGCTAAAAGCTATGGATGATGTTGTACTTCTCGGGTGCGGCGAGAGGAGCGTTTCCAGGACGAACCACCACCACGGCCTTAAGTCCGGCCTCAATGGCAGCGTCAACCTCTCCGGCCACGTCGGAGTAAAAGGTCAATTCGCTTGCCTGCTGGCCAATCTCCTTGGTGATTTTCTCATACGACGCCTTCTCCTGCTTGTACCCTGCGGTGCTGATGTCAAAGTAGCCACTAATGTATGACGTCAAGTCCTTCAGCTCTCCGTCAACGTCCACGTGTTTGAAAAGAAGCACCTGGGCAGGAATTGAGCCGGACGAGTAGATGTAGACCTTGTTATCGGACTTGATGAGATCTATAGCGTCTGGGTACACGGGGGCCTTGATTTCACCGTTTTGGTAGCCCTCCTTCCATACAGTTCCTTGGAATGCCTTCAAGTTGACATCCTTGATGTCTCTGGAGACTAGATCGTTGATGTGAGCCAAAAGGGCCTCTTTTGATTGGGTAACCTCCTCTGGAAAACCCAGAAGCGTAGTAGATAAGCCCTCAGCGGGTTTTATAGGAAAATCAACAGTATCCAAGTACTCAGGGGCCTTTTTGACAAAGTAGGGAAACAAGACCTCCTTCACAAAGCTGATTGGGCACACAGTACCCTCAATGTCGAGAATGACCGTAGGCATGGGTGGTTAGTAGTAGTTGGAGGTTTATGTAGGATTCTCATGAGCCACACTCGGGACCAACCACGTTGACTCCAGGGCCTTTATTGAACCAAGTGGTTTATGCTATCATGACAGGATTCTGGTCTATACTAGGAAGATTCTCCCGTGGAGGATTTGCCTTTTGGATGCAAGGCGGCAGCAGAATCGAGGGTGCTCGAAAAGTGACCATCAAGGTGCAATTGACCATATCTGTGGAGGAGGCTAAACGGGAGATTGGAGGCCGCCGAAGGGTCTATATGCCTGTGATGGGGCAATTGGAGAAGGCCGGCGGGTGAGTGGAGGTTTATTGATCATGGAGGATGGTTTAATGATATGGAGGTGTGGTACCGTGGGAGGTACATCAAGGGAGAACATCAATTGGGGGTGTTGAGGTTTGGGTGAACTTCATGGGCTTAAGGTAAGCGAAACGCTATTTCATTCGCTAGTGATTTTAAGAAGCTCAAAATCACAAAAGTCGGTGAAGCTGACTACTTAGTCTACACTGTTATCAGAACTTATAAAGACTTACAAGAATGCTGGCCGCAAAATGGTATTCATGGGCCTTTATCTGGTGGTTTGGCCAACTTCAAGCTCTCCTGATGACATATCGAGCTTAGTCGATTGATATGCTCCATCAGCCATTGTTCCTCTGATGTCACTGATAAGGCTCTCCTTTTATCCACAGATGTCTTCTGACCGTTGAACCTCGCTTGATCAAAGTACAGCTCCGCCAGCAAACGATGCCTTTTTCGCCTTTTCCCAAAACCCCACCAAACACTATTTCGGACATCCACCTCCCTCGTCTACTCTAACCCAAACCACCCAATTGCCCCAAATTTCTTCTTTAAAAAACCTCCCAAAGTTCCCCAAACCGTCCCTCTACCTCACCTTCCCAAAACGCCAGCACAAAATCCAATTTGTTTAGGCGACGTGCTGTAATCCAACTCACCAGCCCCACGTCATGGCTGCGAAACACTTTACGGTGCATACTCGTCAACGCACATGCACGCAAGCCCCGTTCTTTCGAAAATCTCCGAAATCCCCAAAATCCCATCTTAGTCTCCAAAATTCTCCTTCTTCACGAATCTTTCCCCTTTCTGAATCCGGCTCCAACAGACATATCTGGCAACCCAACAGTGCGCATGGCACATGACAGATGCATTGCTGATAGTCTCAGTCAGTATTCACAACCAGCAGAAATACACCACTCCACCTTCTTTTAAAGTACAACCCATGGCGCTCCCGGACGAGCAGCTCAGCTATATCGACCGTGACGATATCCACTCCTTTGCCAAAGCCTTGGTATGGGATGACGATGACTTCGTATCTTCGGGCAAGTACTCCGATGTCAAGCGAGAGGCTGAAGCGATAGACGCCCAGGGCCTAGAGGAGAACTCCGTGGCGGTCGGGAACTTGCCGAGAACAAAATCGAAAAGTCTGGATAGTCTCAAGAGTCTGGAGAAACCCACTAAGATCACATCGGCGTCGGACTGGTTTCCGATCACTGGGTCTCAAGATAAGAAGAAAGACAAGGAATTGTCCACGAGGGACCGCTTCACCAACGAGTTTCGCCACTCGGCATCGTACACATTGCTCCGCTGGCCTGTTTTGGTGTTCATCATAGGCTGGGTGTTGGTTCTCTGTGTGTTTTATGCCATAGTGAGAGGGTACGTCGCATTGTACGAATACCTCTTTACATGGACGGGCCAGAGGAAAGTGCTCAGACAAAAGCTACGGCTGTCAAAAACGTACGAGGAATGGGTGGAAAACGCCAAAGCATTGGACCGCTTCTTGGGCCTAGATGAATGGTCCACTCACCCAAGGTTCTCGTACTACGACTACAAGACAATCCAGAAGACCATCCACAAGATCCGTGTTTTGCGTAAAAAGAATGACGTTTCCAACTTGATGGTCTTTTTGCAGGGATGCCTCAAGAAGAACTTTGCAGGAATTGAGAACAAACAGCTCTACAGCCACCGGTACTACGGCACCAAGGACCTTGTGCACGAGTACGTCGACGAGGTGATCAAATGTATCGATTGCGTCACCAACGCTGGCACGCAGGCCGTGCTGGTGAAAAAGAAGCGTCAATTCTTCAAGGTGGTGCTGAAAAACTACGGGAAATCGGCCTTGTGTCTCAGTGGTGGTGCCTGTTTCGCCTATACCCACTTTGGCATTGTCAAGGCACTTTTAGACAATGACGTGCTCCCGCTGATTATCTCTGGTACATCAGGCGGAGGGCTTATCGCCGCTTTGGCATGCACTAGAACTGACGAGGAGCTCAAGAAGCTCTTGGTACCTGAGCTTGCAAAGAAGATCACCGCTTGTGAAGATCCCTGGTATGTGTGGGTTCCGAGATTCATTCGTACCGGAGCTAGATTCGATGCCGTCAGTTGGGCCAGTAAGTCTTGCTACTTTACGAAAGGCTCTCTCACTTTCCAAGAAGCATATAAAGCCACTGGGCGTCGTCTCAACATCTCCACTGTTCCTGCTGAACCTCATTCACCGGTCATTCTTTGCAATTCCATAACCTCGCCCAATTGCATTATTTGGTCATCGCTTTTGGCCTCGTCTGCTGTTCCCGGCATTCTCAACCCGGTGGTTTTGATGACTAAGAATAAGGATGGTGAGGTGGTGCCATTCAGTTTGGGCAACAAGTGGAAAGATGGATCTTTGCGTACGGACATCCCCGTCAATGCCCTCAACACGTATTACAACGTGAACTTCTCCATTGTCTCACAAGTCAACCCCCACATTTCCTTATTCTTCTTTGCACCTAAGGGAACTGTTGGACGTCCGGTTGCCCTGCCAAGGCGGAGAACGAAAAAGCAAAAGTTTGCATCGCTTAGAGGTGGTTTCATTGCTACAGCGCTAGAACAGCTTTTCAAACTTGAAATCAAAAAATGGCTTGAAATTGTCAAGACCCTCGATCTTCTTCCTATGTGGCGTGAGCAAGATTGGCTGAATGTGTGGCTTCAGCGCTTCACGGGTTCTATAACTATATGGCCCCGCAACAAGCTCAAGGATTACTGGTACATTCTTCTGGATCCTTCCGAAGCCCAGATGGAAGAGTACTTGCTTAAGGGAGAGCGCAGTATGTGGCCTCGTCTTCTCTTTGTGAAGCATAGACTTGGTATCGAGCGTGCTATCGAAAGAGGCAAGAAAAGCTCTCTTTCTGAGAGAACCCTCGATGCCACGCAGCTCTCCCCAACAAGCTCCAATGCCGTCCAGTCAGATGACTTCTCTGAAGGGCCAGCCAAAGACCTTCTTTCAAGAGCTAACCTCAACAAGAGTGATGTGGAGTCCACAGACGATGAAATTAGGCGCAACTTCGCCTCACCTTTTGATATTAAGTATGGTCGTGATGACGACGATGACGATGATGACGAAGATCTGTACACGGACGATTTAGAGTATCTGTCTGACGAAGAATCAGAAGCACAACCCAAGAAGAGGAAGCCCAAGGGAACAAAAATACGCAGAAGCACTACCGCTTAACCAGCTAATCTCTTTGCAACCAGCGAATTGAGCTTGTTCGTGTCACCTAGTTCGCCATCCTTCTCCACGATCTGATGCACATACTGATACACCGCTTCCATCGCAGTCGGTATAGACTGCTTCTGTTGCGGAGTGAAATCAGAAAGCACAAATGATGCCATTGTGTCTTTGGACGCTCCTTGCGGCTTTGGCCCAACGCCCACACCTAGCTTATACACGGTATGCGGAAGCGAATAAACCTCTTTCTGCACCGCTTTGATGCCATTGTGAGACTCGTTCTTCTTCAATGCTTGCACACGCACCTTGGGAAGGTCCAACTCGAAATCGTCATAGACAACTACAATTGTACACTCTCCCACACGCTCATTGGCCAAGAACGCTCGAAGCAGGGCGCCTGACTCGTTCATGTATGCGTTAGATTTGACAAAGATGAGGTTATCTAGTCTGGTGATGGAGTACTTCCCATGCTTGACTAGCTGTTTCGTCTCGAACGCGTCCGCTAGTTCTTTGAGGACAAGGTGTCCTACTGAGTGTCTGGTCTGGGGCCCTGGGTTGCCTATAGAGAAAAAAACTATAGTAGTAGACATGGTTAATGGGTTGCTAGTAGTCGTAGGGCTATATATGTATGTGATTGTGTGCAGGCTCTACATAAACATGAGTCACTATAGTCGCCACCGACAGCAGGACGATGATAATAATGATCTTAAAGACCTTGTGATGCTTTTTGGTATGGCTGAAGCCTCGAAATGACTATAGTTAAGAGATATTGATCTTGTCGGTCAGAGTCTTGTGTGCACTCCAGTTGCATACTTCACGACGCCAAAATACAGCTACATCTAACGGTTTCTGTCTTTTCCCTAAATCACCATGAGCGATGATGGTGAAGAGACTCGGAGTATTTCCGACAAGCAAGAAACAGAAATTTTGCAAACCCCCGAAATAGACGCCGATTCGACATCAAATGCCCAAGAACCCGCTAGTCTAGAGGTTCCAGAAGAGGACGACGAGTTTGGATCCTTCGATGAGGCGTCATTTGACGAATTTCAGGCTGAAGAACCTGAAGAACCTCAAGCCAATCAGAATTCTACTTTCAGCAGTGCTGTTTTCCAAAGCGAGAGTCTCATAAACCAGAGAGTTGAAGAGACCCTTGACAAGATCTTTACCATTACCGAACAGCAAAGCCACCAGGAGAACGGTGAACTACTCAGCGATGATGCTAAGGAACAATTTAGCTCACTTTCCAAAATTCCACATCTACTGCCGCCAAACTGGCTAAGGCTGAACATCAGACATAAACTACTAGTCAACCTCGGCATACCCATTGACTTGGACGAATTGGAAAAGGGTGGTGTGGCGCAAATGAGTCATCCAACGACACACCAGCGTAAGAAGTCGATTTCTGAACACGACATTGACTGGACAGGATTCAATGTGCCTAGCATTGAGACATTGAGCTTGGATGGGGAGAAGAAGAAGCACCTCTTGACTCAAACGAATAGCATTCTCGACGACATTGAGGAGTTCAATCTTCAGAACACATCGAAACTCTTTTTGGAGAGTTCTGCGGATGAGGCGTTGGAGGAGAAGCTTAGCAAGATGAGAGAAAACTACAAGCATCTTCTTGAGCTCAGTGCGGTATGGCAGGACCAGATACGTGAATTGAAGAACAGCCAAGAGATGTATGAGCTGGTGGTGCAAAATATGGTCGGCTACAGCCAGAGACTCCGGCGACAGGAGATCTTGGACAATCTCAGCCGCAAGAAGCTGAAGAAAGGGAAACGTTCCTTTTGATAGTACATTTATATACAAAGCATGCTCAGCCTCACAAGGGCTGAAAGTTCAACAACGATCCCAAGTCGTCGTTCAAGTAGTTCTCCTCCTCTGCGGTTGCTTGAAGGTTCATGTTGATGAAAGAGCTGTCCATGAAGTTCGTGAAAAGATCATTGGGGGCACCTGTGCCAGTCGCAGCTCCAAATGGACCTCCGTTTTGTTGAGCGTTACCAAGAGGGATGTGAGGTGCTGGTGCATCAAGTGGCTCTTGTGGAACAGCGTCATCCATAGTGGGCTCTTCATCAGTAGCGCCCTCGTCGTCCTTGGTTCTGACAACCGGAGTTTGAGAACGAGATGGTGGATGACTGAAGTTTGCAGCAGGGAACAACTGTGTAGGTTCGAAATTTTCGAAGAAGCCCTGCGATGGCGGCACCTTTTCTGTAACCAACGAGATGTCAGGGAAGGAGTTGACTGAGGATGGAGTATTTTCACCGTTGGAGGATTTGGTCTTGTGCAGCTGCTGCTCCTGACCATTATTGTGCTCGTCGTGCAGAGTTTCTTTGTTATTTTTGAACTGGCGAACAAGCTGTTCAATGTCTGGCTGTGCTGGTTTGGGAGCAGGCTGCAGTGTTTGTGGAGGGGTGGTGTAGTTGTATGAGCTTCCGCGTGGGGAAACGCCGGAGGTCGCCAGGCTAGCTGGCGATGAAGGACCCACGGGGAACTCCTTTTCTTGATGCAAACGCTCCGGGCGTGTGACGGAGCCAGTATCAGAGTATTTAGTCTTTTGGCGGTCCTGGTGGTCGACAATCTGGTTGTTTCTTTCGATGACCTCGGCTCTCTTCATCTTGTCGTTGGCGTACTTGTCAAAAAGCTTTATAAGAACACTTGCAATAGACCAATACTTTGCAAGCTCCTTTAAGACAGCACGAGAGATGAACAAGGCGTCCGAGGCAGTGGATGCAATCACTGGGTTTGTGGAGTCCACATGGTAAATCAACATCACCAAGGCACTGAAAAGAATGTAGACAAACATAACAGGGCAGTATTTGAGGGCACCCTTGTCTAACAAGATCTTAGAAACGATCGAGATCATTCTAGCCGCTTGGAAGGAAATACCCCAGGATGGGTACTTGTAGTTGTTTGGATTGGTTGATGAGGAACGAGCCATTCTCAACAAGTTTGCTCTGTGAATCAAGTACAATCTGTTGTAGTACTGCGCATTTAGAAGACAGGCGTAGAAAGACTGTTTCGATGGGTCGGTAAGTGAAAACAGTAGCTCTGGAGGCAAGTTTGTGAACCAGATACCCATGAGCATATCGCAGTGTTGGATCACACTGAACTTGTTGACACGCTTCATCAGCTCGGCCTTGACGGTATACTGATGCTTGATAATGATACCGGTAATCTCGGCCAATTTGACCAAGTGAATGAAGTACAAAGCCTGAACTTCGTTCACTGGATATGGAGACACGAGTCCGTTTTCGGGCTCATCTTCGTTGAAATCGTCAATGGAAAGCATGGGAACGTCACAGTCGGTCAAGTTGATGGTAGGTGGTCTGCCAAAAGCAATAGCAACGTTACGATCCTTTTCAAAAAGACACCACCAGATTCTGCGCCACACTTTCTTGTCTGCTGCTGAAAGCGAAGGAGATGCTGAGACATCACGGTGGAACCCGAAACCCTGAGCCAAACCCACTCCGACACGGGTCCAGTAGAACGAGTTCCTGGTGACGTCCTCGGGACCTTCCCAATACAGTCCGATAAGAATGACAGTTTGAATAATCAGCACAGGGTCACTCTCGTAGTTGGTCTCGTACAAAGACTTAGCTCTGCGAAAGAATGTAAGGGAGGCCAAATTACTCAGGCCCTTGGAGTCAAAAAGCTGTGGGTTATTCAGCACACGGGAGCCACATAAAAGCACCGCTTGCAAAAGCATAAGCGAGGGGCTGTCTTCAGGGTCGTTGAACTTTCTCATAAACTCAGTTCTGTTGATCACCGGCATGAGCGGGTGGATGTGCTCAAAGTACGATTCGATAATATCAAGAGCCAAGGGCTTAGGTGGTAGAAGGAAAGCACCACGCATCTTCAAGATCTCAAGCTCCACAGAGTCGGCAGAGTAGTTGTCACTAGCCTCAAACAAGTCCTCTGTGAGCTGAACATGATTCTGGCCCAAACGCAGGGTCATGGCGCCGATACTGGAGTGTCCAACGAACGTGAGCGCTGCCTTGGCCTTTGAATTAAGCATATCCTTCTTGTGCATGGATGGTCTTGTTTTGTAGTTCAGGGTCAAGGAAGGAGGTACGGATACCTGGGAGATGTTGTGGATAGGTTCAGCGGCCAGCAAAGCAACAGCATTAACTGTCTGGGCCGGCGACATGGGTGGAACTTCAGGAGTGTGTTGTTGGTGATGGGCGTGTGTATGGACGGGTTCTTCTCTTTCCTCCTCTTTAGCTCTTTTCTTCTGTGGCTTCAGGTCTTGGGTCTGGCCTCTCTTTTTCGTTTCAGGAAGCACACATTCACAACCAAAGGTGATACAGTTTGTGCAAGGAATGTGAATTTCAGCGTCACAACGGACTTTTCTGGCACGACACACGGTACAAGCCCGGGAACCCCTAGGTCTCTTGTATTTGATGGTGTAGGCTTTTGGTTTTTCAGAAGACTTTGCTTCCTTTGGCTTCGGCGAGGGCAGGTCTCTCACGGCGCCGTCATTTTCGGTTTTAACCTTCTTCATAGTCAACAGGGAAAATAAAAAGGACTGATTGAAATGTCCCGAAGATTTGGTTGTTTCTTTGTATGAGATACTCCACGGGGCGGCTCCGTCACTTGGGCTGCTTGTCTGCAGGACACTAAGACCAGAGAGCGAAAAGCGCGAGCAAAATGCTGCATACGTCTACGCACACGAAGCTAAGGTGCAAATGTGGCAGAGATGAATGGGCGGGAAAACACGGGAAGATGGGTATGGTTGGCGCCCGAGGACGGTGCTGGGGAGAACTCCGGTTGTGTGCAGGATGTTTCATTTTATTGTTAACTCCGATTTTTCAAAAAAAAAAAAACGCTTACTGCTAAGCTCGTGTGGGTACCCTGCGAACAATGGCGATGCTGAGCAAAAAAAACTGCTGGGCAAGTGAGCGAAAGGGCTACTAAAGCCGGACATCAGGCCGCTCCGTTCTACCGAGAAGTCCGGTGATTCAAGTGACTCAGTGCGGCTCACGTGGAGTTACTCTGGATTTAAGCAGACCGGATCACCGTAGACAAAAAATTGGGTGAAATCGGTGCATGTAGAAATTCAGGAGATAGCGTTTTCCGATAAGTACCAAAAGTCCGCCTACACGTTGTGAGACAAAACATGACGCATGGACGATCAGCCTTGTACAGGGAGGCTCGATGGCGGACTACAAAAGAGGAATTTTCGAGCATTCTCCAGGCTGATAGGGTGGAGTGGCTGAATTTGCGATTTTGTTTCTTAGCTTTCGTCGGGATTTTGCACATTGACTTTTACCGAGGATGTAGATCGGGAAGATTTTTTTTCGTCTTCTCCAGAAAATTGAAACACCCTTCGCCGATATTTCGCGGCCTTCGGCGATGTTACGCTGTTGCAACATTGGCATTTTTCAGACAATAGCCCTGGCGTGGACCATGCCGGAAATTCACTGACGTAAGAAGGTCACAGGTGGTTGGTAAAAAGTGGTTTATGATGATTTGGTTTTTTGAATTCCGATACTAATAGTGTGGATTGTAGTCTTGTTTGTGTATATGGGGAACTGAAAAATATAGGTCTGGCTGGTTTCGCAAAACCCCATAATATGCTGTCTCACAACTCCACATCTTCAACCTCGCTTCTAATTCTCGCTTAATCCACAGCCAGCCTTCTCTTGATCTTTCTGCACTCCTCTTCATGACCACGCCTTCTTTCAAACGTCATTTCTCGTATATGTCACCTTCTCAACGTTTTCTTCCGAGACAATGACTTTTCCACTCCGACGAGCAAATTCCCTGACCGTCAGGGCACACCGGCGAAGCCGCTCCCCGAGGACCAATGAAAAACGTCATTTTGCCTAATCGTGCCGATTTTTCTTAAACCCCAAGAAATCCGCCTTGGCAACCCAGTTGATCTAGTGGTGCGCACACGACAAACAAATACAACGTCCTTCACACCTTCTCGGCCGGATTTTCACCATGGACACGACAGCGGTCTTGGACAAGTATACGCAGGACTTGCTGAACCTACCGCTAGAGGTGAAGTACTTGTTCGATGAAATCAAAGCAAAAGACCTCCAGCTAGCTGAGGCCAGGCGTCGGTACCAGAGTAAGGACTCCCAGTTGCACAAGTTCATAAGGACCAATGGAACCCTCGCAAAGCACCCCAAGGAGGTGCAGCTTTATCAGAAGATCGAGGAGGAAATGAAACTGATGCAGAGCATCCAGAAAGAGAAGATCTTGCTCGCCAACACGGCGTTGTTTCTTGTTTCTAAGCATATGTTCAACTTCGAGGTGGACATTCAAAAGCTAGAGAAGGACGATCTACTAGCGCCTGTGGACGAAGATGCTCTTGACGACTCCGTGGAAGAAACAGCGTCTGCCACCCCTATCCCTGACATACCAAAGAAGAAGAGATCCTACTCTGTCATGAGAAGATACAAGAGACTCAAGTCGGAGGACTACGACGATAGGCTGGATGAAAGCACGCCTGAAATCAGCACAAGAGCACACCACAGCCATTTGGGCCCTCGTGCCCCTTCGGGCGCTTCTGGCGAAGACGCAGATAACAATTTGTACTGTTTCTGTCAGCGTATCTCGTTCGGCGAAATGATTGGATGCGACAACGATGACTGCAAGTACGAGTGGTTCCATTGGCTGTGCGTGGGCATCACCAGCCCGCCCAAGGATGACGATATCTGGTACTGTCCCGACTGCGCCCCGAAGATGGAAAAGAGGAAAAAGAGGAAGAAGTGATGATTGCGCTACACCTCGATTAGTCGAATGTATCGGGTATCTTGAAGGGTCCCAGATATGTTTGGCGGGTAAGAGTGCTCCGCCCGATTATTGTCGGCGCAGCGTGTTTGGTAATAAAGTTATGCGACAGAAAGACCGCACACACCAGACTAGCTCGAGGCAATCAGGCGGGATCTCCGGCTGGCACTCAATTCTGGAAATTGTAAGCAAGCCAATTGCGTGTGTCGATCTGCGTGGACAATAGCTTATCCTTCAAGGAATGTTCGGGAGCCAGCCTTGCAGAGATGCGCCACACCTCCACCCCCGACACATGGGCTCCTGTGTTTTTAGTGTTGTGGGTATCGCCTCAAGCGACAAGGCGTGGTCTCCAACGGCTGCGCCTTATTGCTCAAAAGGGGCTTGACAGGTTAAGCGGTGGAGCCATAGTCCTGTGGCTCCGCCCGTAAACAGGTGTCACTGCGCGCTTTGACAGGGTTTATGCGGCTAATAGCAGCCATGTGCGCCTTGATGCAGCTCGACCATTGCCAAAATAGCTCATGAGTACAGTCCAACACCACGCCGTCGGAGCCCGAATTAGCTTTGCGTTCTCTGCGGCATTGCCGACTCGGGCTGTGCTTGCTGGGGAACGGGGTATAAATATGACCCCCGCCGCCGGCTTGTGGTTGTCATCATTCCTATCAGATTTCAAACAATGTTGTACTCCCAGATCCTCACCGCTGCTGCCCTTGTGGTCTCCGTTTCCGCTGCCTCCAGCTCTGCCAGTGGTTCTTCCGCTGCCCACTCTTCGTCTGCTTCCGGCCACTCTTCCTCGGCCTCTGCTGCTGGTTCGAGCTCCAAGTCTGGCTCTAGCTCCAAGTCTGGCTCTAGCTCTAAGTCTGGCTCCAGCTCCAAGTCTGGTTCCAGTTCCAAGTCTAAGGGTGCTGCCAGTGGCCAGACTGTTGGTGGTGTTGTCGCTGTTGCTGCCCTTGTCGGTAACATGATGCTCTGATTGAACTGCTAAATAGTCAATTGACTTTCTAACAATAGTTGTAGTCTAGACCTGTTCTGTTAATCCTTCCCAAATGATTCTAGCTCAACGGGAATGCTCAAATCGCCAAATTGATTAATAAATTCCCGTTATATCCGTATCTCAATTGGTAAGCTTTGTGCTTTGAATTAGGGGGACATCGCGTTAATAAACTACCAAACTTTATTCGGTGAAGTCAAAAGTGTCTTTACAGGACAGGCGAGCAAACCAGCAAAGTGACAGGCGGGCCAACAATTTGACGTGTAGTTAATCCTACAGTTTGAATAATCTCGATACCACAAATTCCGGTAAAGATCGGCGGCAATTCCAGGAAGATGGCTTTGCTTTGAGCAGATCGTAGGTCGTAGTTGGGTTTTTTTCCTTCTTTTTCTTCTTGGAAAGCAGAATAGCGCCTCAACGGCTGCTTACGTTTATATGAAAGGCTGGATTTGCTTAGATGACAGAAGCTTTTCTTATGTCGTGATCATTTTAACCCCTGGTTTTTGACGTATTTTGTGAAATAATCCCCAAAATTCACAGCTTTGACTGGGAATGACATTCATAGGAAAAAAGAATTCTAACAGTGGTTGTTATGTAATTGTTTGCTCAAGGCATTCTTGGATTTTGTAGGACTCTGCACATTCGAGAGCTTTCAGCATAACCATGACAATTTTGTGGAACCATGCATATCATCCGAACCAAGTTCGAAAAACTAAAAATGTAAGAAGAAAATAAAACACATTAAAAGATTCCCCTTCCATCTTTTTCTTCATCTTGCATTTCTCAATGTCGATTCCTAGTGTATCGGCTAGTCCGACACTTCTGACCTACATCTACTGCGAATTCACCTCACATACTCATCACCACCGTACTCATTACCCTGATCCAAATAAGCGTTCAACTACAAACGGAGCAATACAAACATAGTCTCCTCCATACCACACATTCACTTATTCCTATAAAACCAAACAGTCCCCTCGTCTAGTTCGTTTTTATCTCGAATCAACCACCCCAGTTAGATCACATCTACTCGGTCCATCGCCTACAACTGCATTGCCAACGAGCGCGTCATAATCTACTCGTTATAATCATATTTACAACTTCCACTGATGTCCTGGAAAGACTGGCTGTATGGTGTTCTAGCGGCACTGGCAGTGTTTGCTGCTTACAAGGTCTGGGAAAGCCGACCAAAGAACGAGCTTCTCCGGCCCCGTACTAGTGGGGTGGATTCACTCATAGGTAACACGCCGATGGTTGAAATAGAATCGCTTCTGCGGCTCACTGGCTGTAAGATCTACGCCAAACTCGAGCTCATGAACCCGGCTGGGCTGGCCAAAGATAGAGTGGCCCTTGCAGTGATCCGTGAAAACGAAAAGCTCGGGAAGCTCAAGCCTCACAATGGCGATGTCATCTTCGAGGGCACGTCCGGATCGACGGGCATTTCCTTCACTGTATTGGCGAACGCATTGGGTTACACGGCGCATATCTGCCTTCCCGATGATACCTCGCCTGAGAAGATGCAGCTCTTGAAGTCCTTAGGAGCAGAGCTAGAGCCTGTCAAACCGGCGCCAATCGTTGATCCCAACCAGTATACCAACGCTGCTCGCAATGGTGCGGCTAAGATCAACAGCGAGAAAGGTAGAAACGCCATCTTTGCAGACCAGTTTGAGAATGACTTCAACTGGCGAATTCATTACGCCACGACAGGACCTGAAATCTGGAAGCAGATGCAGCATAAGATCGATGCCTTTGTCACCGGCTCTGGTACCGGTGGAACCATTCTGGGAGTGTCCAAATACCTCAAAAGCAAACTGCCGCTGACCCGCATTATTCTAGCTGATCCTCAAGGCTCTGGCCTTGCCAATCGAGTCAATTACGGTGTCATGTACGACACCGTCGAGAAAGAGGGAAAGCGCAGAAGACACCAGGTTGACACGATGGTTGAGGGTATCGGTCTCAACAGATTGACATGGAACTTCAAGCAGGGTGAGCAAAACATCGACCAAGCATTCCGTGTCACTGACGAACAGGCGGTGAAAATGGCCAAGTTCTTGTGTGTCAATGACGGATACTTCTGGGGACTGTCGGCTGCTGTGAACTGTGTTGCGGCAGTAAAAACCGCCAAGGAGCTCGGTCCTGGTCATGATATAGTCGTGATCGCCTGCGATTCTGGCGCCCGCCATCTTTCCAAGTTTTGGAAGGATGCAGCCGAGGTCCCATCATCAATCACCTTGGAGCAAGTGCTCGAGTAGATGAACCATTGTATATAGTAAAATCAAGGCTTGCGGTTGCCCACCAATTCCTTCTTCTTTTCCCTGTACAATTTGACGGAACTGAGGAAAGACGCCAGGATACCCATCCAGATCTGGACGGTTTGGAAGTGAAGCGCCAAGCCCCACACGGTGTATGAGTTGAACACAATGTCGGAAAGCGTCTTATAAATATCAAGGTGTGCGTTTGTCTTCTTGAACATGATCTCTTTGAGCGCAAGGGTATCGCGAGAGTCGTCATCTAGGTTCGAGCTGGTCAAACTGGGTATAGGATTCACGGACCCGCCGCCTAGAAGCTGTCTGGAGATGGCACGGGCCCGCTTCTTGACTTGGATCTGGATCTTGGCGTCCATCTCCTGCTGGCTCAAGTGCTGTAAGTTGCTGTATGCATTGTAGAGAGCGAACCAGGACTCGCAGTACCAGGCGTAAGACTCGTGGCGAGACACAAAGTCTTTGACCGTGGGGTTCTTCAAGAGTCCGAGTTTGCCCATGAGGATCGACTCGTCGTTGATGGAGTAGTACAAGGAGAGGATCTCACCGAGGGTTGTGGATGAAAATAGGGAGGGGTTGAACGTCCACTTGGCAGGGTTGTTCATGGCAGCACGGATTTTCCAGTACAAGTTGCGTATGCGGAATGGCGACTTACCGAATCGAAGAAACTGTCTGTAGATACCGATAGCAGGCACCACGGCGGCGAATCGCAGGTTGAACACCGAGCAGATCAAGATGACTAGCACCCTGGCGAAACCCTGCGGGTTCTGCAAGAAGTTCATGACCAAGTCCATGACTCTCTCTGTCGAGGCGTATGTGCGGTTTATCAGCTTGACATTGATCATCTCGTCACTGAGCCAGTCTTGCGTATTTTTCGAGTGGTACAACAACAAACGCAACGTGTACTGGCCGAATTTGGCCATCTTGTCCTTACCCACAATGTCGTTGAGCATTGCCCAAAGCACATCCACTGGTTGGACCTTGACGCCCTTTTTCGTTTCTGGAGGAGGCGATGGAGCCGCCGAGTCTGCCGTGGAGCTTCCTCTTCTTACTGTAGCATTCTGGGCCGGCGAATTCTGGCTTTTGCCTGGCGTAAGAAGGTGGACCTGGACCTTCTTTGATGGTGTTTCCAAGGAACCCTTCTTCAGCGGCAGGTCGTCAGGATCACCCCATTCCGAGGCAACATGAAGCGGGCTATTGGAAGCCGCCTTTAAATTGTGGAAATACGCCGGTACGCTGCCGTACGTCTCTTGCACGTGCACCAGCTCCATATATTGTAGATTAGTCGTAGTGTTGTGGTGAGGGTGTTTTTTGGTGAGATGTACCCGTCCGGTATGCACTGGGTGCAAACCTGGGCATGATTATGGTGGAACACGGTGAATTTTTATTAATATAAAGAGGAGTGTTGTTGTCTACGGATGGCGAAAAAGTAGGTGGTTTGTTTTCTTTTTTTGTTTTTGCTGGTGGTGGGTTTTTGGTGGTGGGGTTGTGGTTCCTCGGTCTGGCCCCAAAAAGGATCGGTGGGGTAGAGTTGCATTTTCATGAGCCTTTGGGGAAGAGGTGGGTTTGGAGGTGGAGTTAAAGTTTTTGATACTGTGGTTTTGTGAGAGAAGAAGGTGTTTTGAATAATTTTTTGAATCGACGATTTTCGAGATTTTGGGCCCGGGGACCCTCGTCTCGGAGTTTTGGGTTCCTCCATCTGGCCTAGCGGGGCGGATATACGATATGGAGAGGGCTAAATAGATGGAATTGGAGGTATTCAATGAACTTTCAGGGCTGTTTAAGTAGGAAAGAACAGCTTTTTGTCGGAAATTCACGTTTTTCTGTTTGAGTGTTTTGGGGCTTCTTGCTATGGCGTCTCAGGTGATGCAGACACCGAGGAGACGGTTGCCTCAACACGGTTGTTATTCTCGATATTATCAAAATTGTAGAAGACGGCACCACCTTGGTAATTGTCTACATTCTGTTTTTACATCATCAATGGTTTGACGTTCCTGGGCTTGTAGGTAACAATGGCCCCACTATCTGGTCTATTCGCAGCCACAGCCGAGACGACAGGGACCCTCCAGTGTGGGGAATTTGGATAATTATTTCATTGATTTTGTCCATTGATACCTCGAAATGCCATATTTTACAAACTTCACGCATCCAGCCTCATGCAAGGGAAATCTGTTCCTGGATCGAGGTATGGCTGCAAACGCCCTCGGTAGTTACTTCTATAGAGCAAACAAGCCGAGAGTCTTCAAAAAAGTGACTGATCAACTTTTATGAAAATGGAAAGCCTTATGACTGAATTCACAACTATACTTACCTAAACCTTCCTCGTCACCACAACTTCCAAATCGGGAACCCAGCTCGCCGGTCCTCCTCCACCATGCACCTCTTACCTTTGAAACACCTCTGAAACACCTCCGAAACACCCCTTTAAACACAACTAAACAACCCCTGCCTCCCTTGCATGCTTCTGCAGCGCTCCCCTAACCAATTCCTCCTACCAATTCCACCTCCAAAGAACCCACCTTCATCAAAGCCATTCTGAGAAAAGCACATGGTCGAAAGCTTACGATCCCTGTTGATCACCAAACCACCAAGGTCATTCAAACACAAAAACCGCTAAAACTGCCCTCTCAGTCCAAACCAACTAAAAACACCAAAACACCTCTCCATAATATTCCCTCCCTCGAGCATATTTTTTCACCTTATCACAGAATTTTCCTCCCTGGGTATGCACAAAGTCTTGCGCATCCCTCGGCCGTATGCATCTCGACACTACATCTCTTCTTCTTCTCCTTATAACCTCTCCACACTCTCCACACCTTTCTCGCTACTAATGAAACAGAATAACTCCAAATTGGCAGCCCTACTACTGGGCTACTCTGACGATGAATCCTCAGAGCCCACACAACGTTCGCCGAGACCGTCGGCAGGAAAATACAAAAAGACACCCCCTTCTGGCGCACCAAAGGGTCCTAGACCAGGGCCTTCCTCAGCTAGAGCGTCTAGGAATCCAAAGACGGGTCCTAAGAAACCGCCAGGGAAGAAACCCCAGGCAAAGTTTCATGCCCAGGACGAAAGAGACGACTCAGAGTATCCTTCAAAGAAACGGAAGATACAGCAGGCACCAGGCCAGAAGGGGGGCGTGTCTCCCAGAAACTCTATGGTCCACCCTAGCAGAAACATAGCTCCAAGAAATGCTACCGTCTACCCTAGCAGGAGCCCATCTCCAGGAACCGCTACCGTCTATCCTAGCAAAGGTCAGTCTTCAAGAGACCTGACCCACCCAAGAGGTAATATTCCTCAGAAACAGTATGTTTCCCAGCACTATAGCCAGACCGAGTCAAATGCTCCGTCAAAGCAGAATCAGCATGTTTCCCAACATTACATCCAGACCGAGCCATATGCTCCGTCAAAGCAGCAGAATTATCATTCTTCACAGCCTGGTGCATCGTCGAACGTGCACCATGAAAGAGAAGACCGTTTTAAGCCTAGCGCATCGTCGAACGTGCACCGTGAAAGGGAAGACCGTTTCAAACCTGGTGCATCGTCAAACGTGCACCGGGAAAGAGAAGACCGTTTCAAACCTCGTCTGCATTCCTACGAGGACACCAGGAATCCTGGGCAGAGGAAGCAACCTGGACCTCCTCCGCCTAAGAAGAAGTACGAGGGACCTGGGCAGAAGAAGCAATCTGGACCTCCTCCGCCCAAGAAGAAGTACGAGGGACCTCCTTGCAAAAGGAGGAACAGTGCCGATTCCGATACTTCTACAAGTCTGAACGGCCAGGCCAAGCGACCAAGAATTACGGACAACAGACCAGTTGGGAAGTCGAAAAAGTCATTTGACAAGACGGCTCTTCCCAAAGGACCCAAAATTATTGACCACAGACCAGCTTTCAATAAGACTTCCTCGGCTGGGTCAACAAATTCGGGTTCTGAGAGCTCAGATAACGCAGATGTCAAGAGCCGTAACTCGTCCACCTCTCCTCCCCCAAGACTGAACAAGCAAGTAACCCCGAAGGTTGAAGAAGCTGATCCACCGCTTCAGAAGAAGCCAGACCCACCCCTTATTTCACGGCCCGATGAAACATTCTCCAACTTGGACTTGAACAATATTCCTGTCGTTACAATCAACCTAGGCTCCGGGATACCCCATGACCCATACTACACTGAAGCTGCACAAGTCAAGCCTGAATCTGAACCTCTCAAGCCTGAACCTGAACAAGCCAAGCCTGAAGCCCCATCTCATGACTCAGTCATAGAGACCTTAAAGCAATTGGCCAAAATACATTCAAAACCCTCTGATAAAGTCATTGAGGAGGCTCTTCCTCAGGCTCATGTCGAAAGACACTCGGAGCCCTTAGGTGATTTCATAAGCTTAAATGATATGGATGAGGGTTTAAGCTTCAAACCCAAGATTCATCCGCCTGGGGATGGAAAGTCTACCGTGCATCAAAATCAGGCGGGTCCTTCTAAGAATCGAAAAGGTGATGCGAAAAGTACAAGTGCTGATTCCAAAGTTTGCTTTATAAGTTTGGAGCCTCTTGCACCCACAACGTCCCCCAATGAGCCTACAATTCATCCCGAAAGAGCCCTTCAAATGCAAGGAAATCGTAACTCGGGAGAATCGAGTACTTCCAATCTGTTTCAGCCTATACCCATGCAAACTTCTGATTTGGCTGTTAAGATCCTCAGACAAAGGCATCCGCTGAACCGTGGACAAGCCGGAGTTAACGTCAACGGTCAACTGGAAGAAAAACTGGGGGTGCATACTCCTAGAAGCCCCTTGAGTCCAAAACAAGAGCCTGGAAGTCAGGCTTCCAAGAGTGTTAGTTTTCGCTGGCTGCATGGCTCGTTGGAAAGAGGAATGACTCTGGACAAGACCATTTTGTGGAACTACACGGAGCCTAGAGAAGGCGCTCCTCTTGGATATGGCACAGTCTACGCCAAAACTAGTGCTGGTGATGACCTCACAATCGAAAGAGTCTACTTCAATCGTACAGCGTCGAACGTCTATGAACCTGGCTGTAAGAGGCCATGGCTTCTCAGCCAGGGCACTGGAGTTCTTATCAACGAAGAGGGAAAAGTCATTGGCTCTCGTGATGACCAAAGGACAGGATACTACTTGGATTTGAAATGCCAGATCAACCCGCTGGTGGTACCAGAAGTCAACGCAAAGAAATCAAAACGTTCGAAAAAACAGAAGAAGAAGCTTGAGAAACAAGCAATGCAACAAGCTACACAAGCTACGCCAGTGCAATGATTAGGATGTATGTATGCCGCAAGCCTGCTGCGGGAATAAATAAGAGTTGATAAATCAACATCTCTATATGCTTTTAATGACACGAGTGTCCGTTAATTTCGCCGTTGGGCCCCATCATAAAGGCACCCACGCTGCCCAAGTAGCCCTCGTGTCTGAGGAAATACGATTTCATGTCACCCTTGGACCAGAAATTGACGGCGTAGCTCAACGTGTGGATTGTTTGCATGTGTCCCAGAATGTAGCTGCCTCCAAAGTATATACGCTTGAGGTCAAAGCGAAGCGCCTGAAGATAGGCAATTTGACCAATGTTGTTGGAGATCAGGTACAAGAGGGATCTTGCAATATCTTCCTGCTTAAACTGTGCTAGCTTTTCTGTGGGAGTAAGTGGGCTGCCCAGCTTGCTAAAGCGGAGCTTTTTAAATACCTTGGCGAACGACGAGGCAATGTGGGTGGACTTCAAGCCGATTTTGTTGTAGCTTGTGCCGTAGATGTCGCCGACCAAAAGATCGATGTTTTCGTTGTCGCCCTTCTGGGCCATTTCCAACATTTCAGTGTAGTCTTTGGCGTCTGTGAGGAGGGAAAGAAGACCCCAAAGCGTTCCTCCTCCGAGAGAAGAACCGCCTATACGCTCAAAGCCCTGGGGACCAGGCCCCGTGACCTTGATCATAGACACACCGGAGCCAATGTTGACCAACAAATAGGGATATATCTGGTCCTCGCACGTGTAAGGACTGGTAATGAACTGAATTTCGTTTTCAACAAGATCGTAGGTGAAGATCTCGTTGGGGATTTTGGTGATGAGCCAGTCGAGGCCCTTGATCAAGCACTCCATCTCGTCCTTCTTGACGATTTGCATGGGGAACTTGTGTTTTTTGAAAACCGCCACCATCAACTTGCAGAATTTGTGGGCGCCGCCGCCCGTGGCCATGACGTACGTGATGGGAGGGTTCAGCTTGTTGATGATGGACTTGCGGATGAGTTGAATCATGAAAGCGAGCGCCTCTTTCTCAAAAGAGCCCGTCTGGAAATCCTGAAAGTGCAATTTCCCGCCCGAGTCGGCCGGGTCGTCCTTCTCCGTCAGAGACGCCGTGAAGTACACCAACTTGGTCAAGGTGCCGCCTATGTCGATACTCATGTGAATGATGTCTGAGTTGTGTTGCGGTAAGGCGATGTTTTGGGCGTTCACCAGGTCCGTAGAAGGGCTAATTCCCATCAGACTGAAGCTGTGCTGAAGCTCCTCTTCACTTTCCAGCTCAGACAGCTCAGGAGGCAGCGGCAGAGCACTCGAACTCAGCAGACCATACTGGCCTCTGATCAAGTGGTCATTGGCAATGTAGGCCCCCAGACAGTCGATTTTGATGGTGCCTGCGGGCACCGAGCCGAAGTCTATGTTGTCGACAAGGAGCTGCTTAACCATAAATGGTTGTGTTTTTTTGGATTTTCTTGATGGAGTGGTTTTTGGTGAAGTGGTAGCGCGAGAATCTGGGGACGAAAATTTTGTTGGGGCACCCGCACTGCACTATGAGGTAGAGGTTGGCGGTGGTTATTGCGCAAACGGAAGGGCTGTGATTTTTAGGAATTGCTGGGGTTCGGTGGTTTTTGGAATTGTAGCGGCTCGTTTCTTTTTTTCAGGGAAGTTCTGGCGTTTTGGCCGTTGGAACGTCGAAACTTGGCACTACCCTACCGCGAGTCGTAGTGGTCCGAGGAACAGTCCGAGGAACAGGCGATACCGACCAGTTGGGTGGAGGTGGAAGGGTGGATTTTGGTGATTTTTGAAAATCCAACAAAATTGGCTTTGGAGGAATTTTTCAAAATAAAAGTCTCGTAACCGATGGTGCCGCAAGTCCGAGGTACCACTACAATGGAGACGGTGACGTACAAAGGTGCCTAGCGGAGATTGGCAGGGACAAAGGGACGGGTTTTTGGGGTTTTCCAAGTGACAAAACTTCGATAGATGAAATTTTTTGATTTTCAAAAATCGATCCTTCCTTCTGTTCGGGTGGAAGAGTTCCTTTGGGTGGATCTTGATAGGCGATTTTACGGCCTTGGGTGCAAAATTCAGGCCCAGTGCGTCGAGGTACCACAATGGCGCTAAACGAGACGTTCTGAGATGTACGAAGGAGGAAGTGCCGATATGATTGGAGGACCAGGAAAATGCTTTTTAAATATTCCGTTCGTTTTTTGGAAGTACCCCGTTACTCTGGATCCGATCAACGCGATAAGGAACGTGTGGGGTTGCTCGGATGATGCCCACTGTGAGCTTCCGGATTTTCCGCAAGCTCAGCGAAGATCCACTTGACAGTCCAAGCCTCGAGATCAGCCGTCATTCTTTATCGTCATGATTTTGTCAGTTGTCAAATGGAGATCTAGTTTATTGATTGGCCACTTTTGAATTGTTGTGGGGACGTAGATAACCGAGGAGCAGATACTAAGGTAACAGGACGGTTGCAACCATGGCAGTGATTACATCAGCAGGCGGTCGATCTTTCGAAAAACCTTGTTTTCCATGCGGTTACGCATTTTGTGGGGTGATTCGGGCTGCAAACCGGCCAATAGATTTTGCCGTGACTCCAATGCAACGTAATATTTGGGTTCCGGAATAATATGGAGAATATTGTTTAGAGGGAGGGTTGCATTGCGTCAAGCTTACAAATAATTCCGGGATGGCTGCAACAGAGAATCCGGTGCGGGTAGGAGGAGCTCGGAGCGGAGCACACGGGTACATTTCGGAAGAGAGGTTAATGTCTTTTTGGGAGTAGGAGTTCTGGGTATTCTTCGGATAAGTCTGTGGAGGTGCCGTTTTTGATGTTGATGTCGGGTGGTCGACGGCTGCTTCCTGTTTTGGAAGTACGGACCATGCAGCAGTCCAGCAGCCAGTGAGAGCGGTTGAATTATTGATGAACAGAGGAAAAGATGTTTTCATGCTATTAGGCATTTTTGAGTATGATCTTTGTTGTTGAATCCGTGGGTTTGAGGTCAGTGGGCACCATGGCGATCGTTGCATCCTTCGGGGAATGCAATGACCATCTCAACAACCATAGTGGCAGGTGAAGTCAACAAGCGGGCCTCTTTCTGTGGATGCATAGCTTTTTCTTGCCTGCTGGGTGAATCGCAAGGAAGGCTGTGGTATCTGGACATCGATGATGACGTCTCGAGAGACATTAGTGTTTGACCATTATAACACCATTGAAGCTATGGAGAGCAAGATCATGGCCCTTGGTTGGCAATGGTGAGTTCCCGTGACAACAACCTTATCTACCCTCACGATCAGTCCATCTTCACCTCACCATTAACCTCAACACCGTTCCCCGTATTCACCTCATCCGTGGTCTTCAAAACCTCGTTTTTCTCGCCTCCATTATGCACCTTGGGTTTCTTAGAACCCCGATTATTCCTATTCTGTCCATTTCTGCCCTGGCCCCCTTCTCTCTTAGACCCTTTCCTCGGCTTTCTGAAGCGCTTCTCCTCTTCAGGTACCTGGTACTCCTTCACGGCTTCAACTTCCCTGGATAGCAACTCACCGCTAGGCACTTCAAGCCCCAAGTTCTCGTGAAAAAACCTAATCAACTTGCTCAAGTTCCACTTGATGTCTTTTGTCATATCAAGATCTAGTTTCTGGTTCTTGGACTCGGGGTCCTCTTCACGGGCATTGTACGGCTTAAAATCACGGAAAAACAGCCCAACCACCATTCTGAGCATCCGCTCGTCCAGCCCATCCACACTAGGATGGTTATTACCCCTGGCTCTGAGTCTATCTAGCACTATGCTCTTCACTTTGGCATGGGGTGTTTTGGGATTGACAAAGTTCACCACAAGAATGTTCACGTCCTTCTGGCCTAGTATGTCAAAAAGCTCCTTTCTGTGTCTTACCATGTGGTTGTTGCGGTCTATAAGAACCACTGGGTGGTTGGATATAGCATGCGATATCGTCAGAAGAAAGTTTCGCTTGTTGTCGATCCTGTCATTCTCGATATGTGAAAATTGCGGATATATCGCTGTAAGGGCTCTGAAAAGGGTCAGTTTACCGCATCCGATCGTAGATACAGGCACTATCACCCATGTTGGTGCAGACATGGAGTTGTAGTAGTCGCTCGTTTTGATGATACTGCAGAGACCTTTTGCAACCACCCAATTCTACACTTTTCAAATGTTGATATGCTATGACTATGTATGTTGTCTAGAAATCGTAGGTGAACATGATGAACACCTTCTGCTTTTCCAAGACTTTGTCAAGCGAAACCACCCGTGCAGTGGTCTCCTTGAGTTTATACTCACCATCCTCAGGATCCTCATACTTGAGGAAAAGCTCCGTAAGGGCGGCATTCAGTTCTGCGGCTCTGATGGCCGGTGAAACGGTGCCTATGGTGATATGCAAATGCTCGTTGAGCGGTTTAATCTGTGATCTTTCTTTGACGATGTTATTGTTCTCGTCGGTCTTGTAACCTTGTTCGAGTTTGACCTCAATTGTGACAAGCTTATCGTCAAAGATGATGGCTCTGGTCAATCTGATGTCGTAGAAGTAGTTTACTGACACCTTCTTGTCCTCGCCTGAGTTTTTCCTGGCTTGGTTCATGCCGAATTGCCGACCCAAGGCCTCCCAGTCCGGCTTCTTCTGCTCATGGACGTATATGCTATCTTTGTGGCCGAGAGTGACATGGAATTCGTCTTGAACTCTGCCGTTCGTTTGTATCGATTCCCAGGTAGGATTGTCTGGAAGACTCTTTTTCAAGAGCTCAACCAATGCTTCTCTTTCCTCGATATGAATGCCGTAATACTCGGCTCTTTTGCCGTTGTGCGAATTAACGGGCATCTTCTTTTGGAATGTAGGCTTGTACTCCAACGCCTCCTTGTAGGCGGCCTGCCATTCCTCCTCGGTAGGATTACGCTCTTCCTCAAGTTCTGGTACATCTTTGAGGTACTTCCAGATCTGTTTTGCAATCTCCAAGGAGTCGTGCTTTGTTATATCGACGTTGATCACTTCGTGGAATTTGTCATCAGGAAAAGCGAGTTCATCCTGCTCATACAAGGGCACAATCTCTCCATCCTTCGATTCGCTTTTGTTCTTTAAATTTGGTTGTTCGAGTCTTCTCACCAAGTCTGAAACAATACGCGATGTTCTGGCCTCCTGTGACGATGCCTTGATGCTTTGGTGCTCATCACCTCTCTTCATAACTCTCTCAGAGACAATTTTCTCGAATTCAGGACTCTTCTGTGCTGCTCCAAAGTTTACTCCAATGAAGCGGAAGCCAAAATCAGGTAGGATCTTACCTAATCTCATCTTCTTGAGCTGATCAATGATCTCTCTTCTTTCTCTTTTCATGGCGTTGTTCCTATCAAGTAGTAAGACTGTCAGCTTCAGGAGACTATCGATACACTCTTCTCTGAATGGCTTCGGTGTTTGGTAGTTATCGTTTTGCACATGGCCCCACTGAGGGAAGAGATTTTGGAGCGTTCTGAAAACAGTGGTCTTTCCACTTCCCACGACCGCTATAGGAACAAGGATGTACTTCTTTGCGGTTTCAATATGGAAGGCTTCAAGCCTCTCCACAAGAAGTTCGGTGGCTTCAAGCTCGTTTAAAGACAAACCACTTTCTGTGACAATCTCGCTGTTCTCCAAAAACAAGTTTCTGGCCTTAATGATACCCTTATCATTAAGAAACTCCTGTGCTGCCTCTGGGTTCTTCTCGAAGTATTCCTCCACAAAATCAAGATACGCTTTCACCACCAGAGCATACTTCTTCTCACCAAGAGCGATATCCATCTTGGCTTCGGTTTGCTCCACTAGTTTCTTGGTGGCTTCTCTGAGGGTACGGTACAAATCGTAGGGTCTGGTGAACTTGTACTTGAAGAAAAACGGGTCTCCCAGCTCCTTCTTTCCCCTTACAACAAAACCTTCGACCAATCTTCCCTGGTAGCTTCCAGACTTCGATCTCTCTTCTAGAAGTTCCCAGAGCTCTTCAATGCTATCGAAACGCTCAAGATGCACCTTTCTGAAGCCGAACTCGTCTGCCAATTCAAAAACATCCTCCATGGGGTATGTGTAGAAATCACGGATGTTTGCATTGATTCCGTGCAAGTAAAGACCTGCTAGCTCCTTGGGGTACTCCACAATATGCTCTTCAAACTCATCGTCACAGAGCTCAGCCACAGCAGTGACATTGTGATCATATAGCACTTTCGCCAATTCTTCAGGTTTCTTGCCTGCCTTCTCTAGATGCTCAAAAACGGCCTTCTCTGCTTGACGAGAATGCTTGATGTTGCTTTCACGATTAGGACTTTCGCCAATTGGCTCACCTGTGACGTGTTTCGAGCAAACCACAAGCGTGCCGTCTTCAAGTCCTGATATCAACACAATGCAACCGTTCTCCTTGGTGGTGACCTCAAAAGGTCCCTTCAACTTCATGATGGCATCCTTCTTGGTATCTTCGACCTCATCCACGCTGAAGAATTTGTCGTATCCACGAGCAATAATTGAGCCGTCCTTAGTGAAAACGCCACGTGCTCTCAATGGGAGAACTATGGATTTGTCGGAGTAGGCGTACTCGTTGAATTTCCATGAATCCACCTCCTCGTCTCCCTTGGATGTGGTGATTTTGTATGTTTTTCGCTGTGCCTTGGCCAATTTGGTTTTCTCTAGGGCAACCTGGAGATCTATGAAAAGATTGCTGATCTCATCCTCCAGGTCCCGTTTTACGGGAAACGAGTCAAGCATTATGGAGTGGTGATGGTCTCTCCATCGCTTCTGTAGCAGGACATCCGTACACCAGTTTGCAGCCATCGGAAGAACAGGTCTCTCTTTCGAGTTGTCGATGGATAGTTGGCGGTAGGAGCATGTTTCATTTGTTAATGCTTTTGAAAGTGTGTATTTGTGCACATATTGGGGTATCTTTACAAGCTTCTATCTGTTAGAGTAGTGGTTATTGAGTATAGAAGCAGGAGAACTTATAGGTGTAGACAAGGCAAACCTCAAAACTACAATTGCCATACTTTACTTAGAAAACCATCCATAGAGTCTGTCTCGTACTCAGGCTTTTTGGATATCTTCTAGTATAGAGTCTGTAATATAGAATCTGTACAGCCTCCCAAAGGCGTGCGACTATGCTCCTTTCATTCCACCTCTGAAGCATCTAAATATACAGCTCAATAGCATTTTTCAAAAATTCTACTTTAACAATCCCCCTTCAATTTTCTCCCATTCCCTCTCCCCCTCTACAACACGGAAATCGTGGGGGTTCCCCGTACAACCTGCACTTGGGCACTATCAACACATCAACCTCACAGCGGCTACTACTACTCCAATGAACGTTGACGTGGATGAGGCCGATGTGGCCGTTCTTACGCAAAACCTAGCTAAGTCTAAGGACCTTTTCAATGACATCACCAAGCGTCTCCATTCAATTTCCACAAAAACGTCTCTGGCGTCCACCTCCATCAAGCCTGTGTTAACTGAGTTCAACACACTTACATCCAAAAAGCGCTCTGTGGAGGAGGGGTTGCTGCTTCTAAAAGATGTTTCTTCTTACGCTGGCCGTGCAGCCGAGTCACAGCGGCTTTTGACGAGTCCGATTGAATCTGTGGGTACGACAAAGTACCTCCAGTGTTTGCTGGATTCTTCCGATTTGGTACGCGAAATGAAGCGTGAAATTCACCATTTTGACAATGTGGTGGTCACGTTCGCCAATGTCGTCGATAAGGCCGAGCTCAATGTTGTGACACACTTCACCAAGTTGGTTTCTTCTGTGGGATTGGGAGGTGCTAATGTGCCCAAACAAACTGATATCAAGACAGTGCTCACATACTTTGCCAGCAAGGGCAATCTCAGAATGGCGCACGAGGCTATGGAGAAGGCGTTTGCTCGTCAGCTTACGCAGAAAATGGCCCCCTTGGAGGACAATTGTGTGTTCCAGAAAAGAGCTGCAAACATGCCGTACGAAAGAGGAAGCAACGGCGTGGCCTCGTACGTTGAGGAGCTCAAAAATGCTGTTTCTACCCTTCAAGGCGTTGCTGCAGAGCTTCTGGTTTCTGATACCCCGGTCGCCAGAAATACCGTGGCTCAGTATATGGACGATAGGGTCGCCAAAATCCTCAGTCTCTACTGCACCTTTTTGGAGCTGAGCGGCATCACGGGCCAGGATCTTGTTATTCTTGACGTTTTGGATAACGTGGCCGATTTGGACAATCACATTGGGAAGGTAGCAAATTGCAACTTGGGTGTGTGTCTGGTAGCTAACAAAGAGTACCACCGTCTTCTCAACATCGCCCAAGGCTTGCTTGCTGAGTGGGTCAAATACGTCGACGGCAGGGTGCATGCAATGGACAAGCTTACGGACGGCAATATTCCAGAAGTAGTGGTGGAAATCTTATCTAAAATAAGGCGTGTTACAGAGTACGATTCTTTGGCGCTTTTGCTCCAGGACATGAAACTTGGGTCTTGGCTCGATGTCAAGCCGCCTTTACAATTCATTTCAGTCTACACATCGGTGATCCCTGGTGCTGAAGGCGATGCTTCAGATCGTCAGGCTTTCTTGGTGTCGTCCTACATTCTGGACCTCTTGGACGAGCTCATGGTGGATCTCGAGATTCGCCTCAAAGACCAATCTGGTGACAACGGTCTCCGGAAGCTGACACAAGGTTTCATGCTTGTGAGGAACGTTGTTATGATCGAAACCATCATCAACCGACTGGAAGGTTTGTACACCAAGCTTGGAGTCATTGGCCAAGAGCGTCTCCAGCGTTTGAAGAACCGTTTCCTCAAGCTCTTCTTGGACGACTGGAATTACGCCTCGTACATCATTATCAGGGACATGACACAAATCACCACCATCAATGCCCAACATGGAGGCCAAAACAGTAACAAGGAGCGCGAGCAGGTCAAGGAGCTCTTCAAGAACTTCAACGAGCTGTTTGAAGAAGCACTCAAGAACTACGAGAAATTCAACATCCAGGAGAAGGACTTGCGGGCTTATCTCTCCAGCGAGATCAAGAAGCTCATTATCAATGCATACAACAAGTTGTACGATAAGTACGGCAGTGGAGAGTTTACCAAGAACCGTGCGAAATACATCAAGTACGAC